GTTGCGTGACAGTTGTCCAGGTCCCGTCGTTCGCACGTGATATCCCTGCCGGAGCCCCCTCTGGCTGAAGAGTTCGCTTCCACCATTCCAACGCCGGTCCTCGTAATAGTGACACTTCAAAATTAATGCGGGTAGCATCGTCAGCAATTTGCGCAGCATTAAAAAACACCTCTACGCAGAACAACCAAGCTGACACAGTGACGGTTTCGTCGCTGGGATTGAACGGGGGCGGGTTCGTCGGTTTAATTTTAACAGTTGTTGAGACTGTTGCTGCTGCATGCATCGGGGGCGCCATTGAAGCCATCACCGTGATTGTCGCTGTTGCCTGTCGTGGCGTCGTCTGCGACTGTTGCCTCGGCTGTGACTGTTGTTCCTGCGTCCCTTGTGCTCGTCGCGTTCGTGCTGCCCGCTCGTCTTCAGCGTCCAGCGAGTTCTGTAGCTCGCTGAGGACCTCGTCGTTAGGCACGAAACTGCTTCCTGCTTCATCCACGACGGGCGACTCCTGACGCGCTTCACCTCGCGTCTGGCGTAGCTCGGCGTTTTCCTCCCTCAGGCGCTCCAACTCGCCAGACATAGTCTGCATGTTGGCCTGCAGCGCCCGAAACTGTTGCATGAGCTCGTTTAACTCCGCCTGGTCCATGTGTCGCAGGCTTCGTCTAACGGGCAGGGGGGTAACAACGATTTTTCTGGTTTTGATGAAGGCGCAAACGCTATTAGTCGGAGCGAGATAATCGTATCTATCTCTCAGCCGACCGCTTTGCAGCCCACCAAACCTATCGCACCCCCGTACTAAACTACCCCGGAAAGTGGAGGGTAACCTAGGAAAGTAGCTCTGATACCAGGTGTTATGAGTTGTATGAAAGAAGAGTGCGCAGAATGCAATATTGCGGAAATGATTTCAACTACTGAGCAAACATCGGGGCCTAGGCATAATATAGCAAGGCTAGCTAAGCCTGAGGTCGCGAAGTCGTGCGAGGTTGGGTGTAGGTTTGGGTTTGGGAAAACCCGAAGGCGACACGGAGGACGTTCGGGAGGCGAGGTCGTCGGACCGAGCCTGAACTCCGAAAGTTGGAAATGTACGCGTAGGCGGTGCCTCAGTAAGGAATTAGGAAATTTCCTTACAACGGGAGCATTTCTATATAAATCTCATTCCTCTACTTTTTTTAGCCTGTATGTCTGTGATCCTAGCCTTTACCATACTAAATAAGGAAAACAACTTTAATAAGAGAACGCAATAAATGCATGTTTATTTTGGATGTACAAGTCTTGTTGTTTGCGTGTTTGCCATAATTCAACCAACAATAAAATAAACGAAAATATCAAGTATATGAAATATTATTACTTTGAAGTTGCAGGTGGGCACAATTGCAGAGCTGCTTTCTTAACTGCTTATTAGGGGGATTTTGAGCAACACAAAATCTGATGGGTGGAAAGCGATGCCAATCAACAGACACATCATGATGCGGCGGAGTGGATTTTTGAAACACCGTGCCCATTAGCTTGTGCAGCTGACTGTTTGAGGAAGCCAGGGCTCGGGCCTCTGCCGAGGCGGTGGGTTCCTTGATTTTGGCGGTGAGTTTCGAATCAGATTGCCAGCGGTGATGGAAATATCGTCCCGAACAGTTCAGAACCTCAGTTTGCTTCAACCCTTAGGATTTAGAGATTATACTGTCGCCACGTGCTAGATTTGCTGGAAACTCGTTCACGATTCTTTGCTGCACACGAAAAAAACGTTGATGTCTCCGTTTTGTCGCTGGATTTGAATTTGGGTGGATTGCATACGTTTTCTTTTGTGTCTGAACCGAAGTCGAACCTACAGTATTCCTAGTTTCGCCCTCAGCAAGTTCAGGTCAGCAACACCACCACCAAAGACATATCCACCGCCTTACGTGTCACACATCAGGCGCAGCATGAGTGACATGATTATTTCGGGTACCTGCAATGAATGACAGCCCAGACCTACTGTGCATGAAAATGTATCTCTGAGCCGCGTCGCGAATCGCAACAATGTCAGCCATTCGTAAGCAATTCGCACCTAATATCTTTTCTCACCAGCATTGCAAACAGCTTCTCTGAGTCGCGCACCTATCCCTGCATCCGTAAGACCACTTTCTTCCTTACGCTTCAATCCATTGTGTTGCAAAACGGGCCGTTTCTTTTTCATTGGTCTGCAGCTTGTCAGTTTGCTGTCCTCTTTTCACCCAAAACTAGTGGACTAGTATTCCAGGTAGCAGCACGCGACTCGGTCTTGTGCTGCTTCAACCTCTTCTCACGCCGAATTTCAAGCACGGGTTTCCATGGCGACCGCCCAAGTTCCTTGTTTTGCACCCCCTTCCGAAAATCACTCGACCTTTTCAATTGCTCTCCGTAAGGGGATCTTTAATCCAGTAGTTACAGCAACAATTACTCCGGGAGAGCCGCCGCCGGGCCCCCGGCCGCCACCGCTCATTCTCAAAGAGCGGGACGGCGCCACTGAAGCGAGATGGCTCCCCCTGCGCTGTGCTCTTTGCCCTCTTCAAGCCTCCGCGTTCTGCGCCGCGGATCGCGCCGTGCTTTGCGCAACCTGCGACCAGGATATCCACGCGTCGAGCACAATATTCTCCCGCCACTGCAGGTTCTCCCTCTGCGCGCTCTGCTCCCGCCTCTCCACCGCCTCGTTACCCGCCGCTTACGTCGCCTCCGTGATCGCCGCCAGCTTCGCGGCTCCAGCTTCAGCGGCCGTTGAGTTCGCGGCGGCGGCGTCGGCGGCTGCGGCTCCGTCTATGCCGGCGGCGGCTGCTGCCGTCCCGGTTTGCGGGGAATGCGGCGAGTATGCCGTTGCAGTGGCAGCATCATGCAATGATTCCGCACGCGGCGCGACCCGGAGGTCGCTCGATAAGTTTCCCCGCCTCTCCCACACTACCGACAGATTCCGGTCGCTGAAGGAGTCCCACTGCGAGTCTTCAGAGCCGCAGCCGCCGTATCATCATGCGGTAACAGCGGCGCGCGGGGAGGGCAAACATCATAGTAGTAGCATCATAGATGACGAAAGAAAAGCACCACAGCTGCGTGCGGCTCGGGGTAATATCTTCCCTTTGTTCCCCGTGACGCCTCTGCCGCTTCTCCCCAGCGAAAGCACCTCCAGCTGCGGCAGCTGCGGCAGCAGCGGCGGCAGCAGCAGCAGCAGGAAGCAGGTGCGCATGTGCAGCGAATACTACCCTTCGTTTCAACTTCCGACACGAGGTCTCGCGCACGGTCATCAGGCAGGGAAAGCATCAGCAGGACAAGCAGCACCGATTTCTTTCAGTGGCAACACGTGGGCGGCGTCCGCTCGCCCCGCCCCCGCCCCCGCCCCCGCCCCCGCTCGCGGCCCCCGCCCCGCTGCTGCGCACCCCGCCCCCGTCCCCCGCTCCACCGCTGCCCTTCCCGCCCTCGCCTCCGCGAAAGCCCCCGCCCCCGCCCCCGGCACGGCGTGGCTCTCCCTTGCGCCTGCGTATGGCTGCTATGCACAAGCCAACGCGGGGGCATCAGCGGGAAAAGCGGCGGCGGGTATTGCGGAGGAGAACGTGGCGCGGCAAGGGCTGAGAGAGGGCGGAAATGTGGGGGAAGACACTACGAGGGTAGGCGGTAAGAGGATCGCAAGGGCTGTCGGAGTTGGACTTTGGCCTGTGGGAAAGCGCGTGTGCGGAGGGGATAGGCGGCACGGCGATGGGGAAGGAGAAGGGGAAGTGTGCACGGGGTTTGCTGAGCCGTTACAGGGTACTGGTGCTAGTGCTGCTGCCTCTGCTGCTGCTGCTGCTGCTGCTTCTGCAAGTACGCGTGCAGAGCAGCTGCTAGGCGCGCCAAACTCGCAGAGACTGCGGCGCGTGTTGCGCTGCTGGATGTCCGCCCTTCCAGATCAAAACGGCAGTAGTAAACCCACGCCTCTGTTACCAGCCGCAGCAGCAGCAGCAGCAACAGCAGCACCACCACCAACCGACCCAGCAGCTCCCACCACCTCTGCAGCCGCCATTGCAAGCGACAAATCAATACAAAGCCTCACCCTGCATCTCTTCACGCGGTTAATCACCGCGCACAGGCTCTCCCCCCCTCCCTACTCCCCCCACGCTGCCACCCCTGCGCTCTCCTCTATCCGCGTTCTCCTGGCCGCGCCCCTATGGCTGGCATGCAAGCTGCTCGTGCACCGGAAACATGTGCCGTTGGGGAGGAGCGTGGCCTTGGTGTCTGGAGTGCCGGTGCAGCAGCTGAGTCGCGCTGAGGTGGAGCTTATGAGTGCGCTTGAGTGGGCGCCGCTCAAAGGATGGCTGCCTGTTGGTTGCTAATAGCGATGCGATGTTAATTCTGCTGCTTCTCCTCCTGCCGCTGATCTTCCTCCTCCTTCTGCTGCTGCTGCTCCTCCTCTTCCTCCTGCTGCTTCTGCCAGCGGTGGCGACGGCATGGAGGAAGAGGTGTTGATGGCGAGAATCAAGCCAGAAGTCTTTAATCAAGCCAGTGTTTTGTGTGGATTTGTGGGGTTGCTCTGTCTTGCTGCGCATCAGAGCCCAGCCTAGAGTGATAATAACGAGAGCACATCCAATAAGGAGTGGCTCAAGCAAGCAAGAGGCGTGGTGGTCGGTTGTTTGTGGTTGAATGCCTACTCCCCTCGTTGAGTGGAATGGGGATACTGCAGCGGGCATTGTTTGCTGTGCCGGCTATGATGCTTGTACGGCACCGGTACCACATGTGAAGCGCAAGCTTGGTTTCTGCGGAGTTTCTCAGAGTCTCCTGCTTGGTGTACAGGGAATGCTTGTTCTGTTTTGTAGAGAGAATCATGCAAGCCATGGCAAGACAAGCTAGCCGGGAACAATGGTTTGATTACCGTAAACCCAGGGCATACAGAGGTATTTTTTTTATTGTGGATAATATAATTTACTCTCGAGCAAACATGTAATTAACGATGGACTGTGATTGCTGTAGCTGAAACTTGGAAAGCCCCTGCGTGAGTGCGTGCATGCATGTGTGTGTGTTAGTGTGTGACCAGGCTAGTGTGTGTGGGAGGGGGCGAGCAGAGAGCTGAGCCGCAGAATGAGCTCTTCAGGGGGAAGAATGCCCTCCTGGGGGGGTGATTTGGGGGAGAGGGGAGTGGCAGATAGCATGGATGGTTGAGAGGAAAAGGGCGAGAGGGAGCGGGCGAGGAGAGAGCCGAGGCGCAGAATGAGCTCTTCAGGGGGAAGAATGCCCTCCTGGGGGGGTGATTTGGGGGAAAATTGGCGGAGGGGGGGGTGGCTGAGGTCATAGATGGTTGAGAGTGAAGGGGCGAGAGGGGAGGGAGGAGAGGGGAGGGAGGAGATGAGAGAAGCGAGAGGGAAGGGGTTAGAGGGAGGGGACGAGAGGGAAGGGACGAGAAGGACCCCCATTGCAAACCCACCACCCACCCCTTTCTTCCCCCAACCTGCTTTCCCACCTCTCTCGCACCCACAGCAATCCCCAACATCCCTAACCTCGCACTCGCAAACTTGCCAACTTGCACGGCATCGCCCGCCATCACAATGCGGTCCACAGGGTGGCCGTGTCGCACCACCTCTCTCGCACCCCGCAACGTCCATAACACAGCACTCGCAAACCCGCACACCCCGCCAGCTCCCACCCGCTAGCGGTGTGGCATCACAATGCGGTCCACAGGGTGGCCGTGTCGCACCACCTCTCTCGCACCCCGCAACGTCCCTAACACAGCACTCGCAAACCCGCACACCCCGCCAGCTCCCACCCGCTAGCGGTGTGGCATCACAATGCGGTCCACAGGGTGGCCGTGTCGCACCACCTCTCTCGCACCCCGCAACGTCCCTAACACAGCACTCGCAAACCCGCACACCCCGCCAGCTCCCACCCGCTAGCGGTGTGGCATCACAATGCGGTCCACAGGGTGGCCGTGTCGCACCACCTCTCTCGCACCCCGCAACGCCCCTAACCCCGCACTCGCAAACCCGCACACCCCGCCAGCTCCCACCCGCTAGCGGTGTGGGGCATCACCCGCCATCACAATGCGGTCCACAGGGTGGCCGTGTCTGCAGTCCACGATGGTGGGCATGCGGCATGCCGTACTGCTCCCGCCTTTGCACCGCATTCCCCCATGCACCACTCCCCCGAATCCCCTCCCCAACCACATCCCCAACCTGCATTCCCACCTCTCTCGCACCCCAACGTCCCTAACCCCGCACTCGCAAACCCGCATACCCAGCCAACTCCCACACCCCCCCAACTCCCACACCCCGCCACCTCCCACCCGCTGGAGACTCACGATGCGGTCCACGGGGCTTCCGTGTCTGAAGAGCACGATGGTGGGCAGCGCCGTGATGCCGTACTGCGATGCGAGCGCCGGGTACTTCTCCGTGTCTATCTTCACCTGCGGGGGAGGGGTGTGGGGGGGGTTGTAGTAAGGCGCCAATAAAGGGATGGGCGGATGGGCGGATGGACGCGTGGATGAAGGGGAACTGGCAGCGGGGCAGGGAGGGCGTGGGGGGGGGGGGGGGGGGTTGTAAGGCGCCAACAAAGGGATGGGCAGGTGAAGGTAGAGACGGAGAAGTACTCGGAAATAACACATCACAGTAAGGCATCACACCGCTTCCGTTTCCCCAGCGGCGGAGAAGAGGAGTTGCGAAAAAGGGGGGGACTCGGGAGGCGGAGAGGCGGAGACTCGGGGAGGTGGAGAGGAGGAGAGGCGGAGACGGGGAGACGCGGGGAGGCGGAGAGGCAGAGAGGCGGAGAGGCAGAGAGGCGGAGGGGCAGAGAGGCGGAGAGGCAGAGAGGCGGAGAGGCAGAGAGGCGGAGAGGCAGAGAGGCGGAGAGGCAGAGAGGCGGAGAGGCAGAGAGGCGGAGAGGCAGAGAGGCGGAGAGGCAGAGAGGCGGAGAGGCAGAGAGGCGGAGAGGCAGAGAGGCGGAGAGGCGGAGAGGCGGAGAGGCAGAGAGGCGGAGAGGCAGAGAGGCGGAGAGGAAGAGAGGCGGAGAGGCAGAGAGGCGGAGAGGCAGAGAGGCGGAGAGGCAGAGAGGCGGAGAGGCAGAGAGGCGGAGAGGCAGAGAGGCGGAGAGGCAGAGAGGCGGAGAGGCAGAGAGGCGGAGAGGCAGAGAGACGGAGAGGCAGAGAGGCGGAGAGGCAAAGAGGCGGAGAGGCAGAGAGGCGGAGAGGCAGAGAGTCGGAGAGGCAGAGAGGCGGAGAGGCAGAGAGGCGGAGAGGCAGAGAGGCAGAGAGGCAGAGAGGCAGAGAGGCAGAGAGGCAGAGAGGCAGAGAGGCAGAGAGGCAGAGAGGCAGAGAGGCAGAGAGGCAGAGAGGCGGAGAGGCAGAGAGGCAGAGAGGCGGAGAGGCAGAGAGGCAGAGAGGCGGAGAGGCGGAGAGGCAGAGAGGCAGAGAGGCAGAGAGGCAGAGAGACAGAGAGGCGGGTACTTACGATCTTGACGGATGCGAGCAGTCGGTGCGAGAGGCTCTGCAGCACGCCCGCCATGTGCTTGCACGGCCCGCACCTGCCGCGCGACCCGGAGGAGGGAGGGGAAGGGGGGGGAAGGGGGTGGTTGCGAACGGGAGGTGGGAGAATGGTTGCGAACCGAGCGCGAGCGCGTCAAGACTGGTTGACTACCACAGAACCAGCCCCGGTGTCTAACCGCGTGTGATGAGGCGATTATTGAGTCGACTCAAAAGTCGAACCGAGCGCGTCAAGACTGGTTGACTATCACAGAACCAGGAAAGTCAACAGAACCAGCCCCGGTGTCCAACCCAACCAATCTTGGTTGCGATGCGAGCCAGGATTGGTATATACCACAGAACCCTGTTCTAAGTCTAGTCAAAGGCGCCGGACGCGATGTGTCCTTCCGCCCGCGCCAATCCCAGCTCACCACGTGGCGTAGAAGTCGACGAGGACAAGATCCGAGGAGTGAATCAAATCGTCGAATGAGGAGAAAGTCTGGTGGCGGCTCGCCAGCGTGATTATCGCCTGTTGCCTGGTGGCCAGTGTGACTATTTCGGGGGGTCTGTGCCGAGGCGCCTCGAACGACGACGGTCCGTGCGGCGCGAACGGCCACAGCAAACCACCGCTGCCGCCGCCGCCGCCGCGTTCCGCTCGTTGCGGTGAGCGATAAAAGTCGCTGCTGTTGCTGGGTCTCGTGGGTGGGACATTCGTGCAACCAAAGAGAGGAGAAGCTAGCGCGAGTTGCTTGACGCCGCTGCCGCTGCTGCCGCTGCTGCCGCCACTGCCGCTGCCGCCGATGCTGCCGCTGCTGCGCAGGATGCCTATGCCGCTGACGCTGCAATAGTGGGTGCGGTTAACGCTTCCGCGAACGCCGCTAATGCGCAGGTGGTTTCCGCGGAGCGTCATGCCAGCCAGGGCATTCGCAGGGACAGAAATCCTTCTAGCACCAGAATCAAACCGAATTACATCCTCTCCGGCGCGCTCCCGAAGTGAGCGAGTGCACGAATCCCAAGAAACATGTATTTGAGTATTTCTTACTATTGGATTATCTTTAAATGTTCCTGTTGGGTGCCTCGAAACCATCTCCGCTGAGAACGAAGTGGCGCGGAAGTCGACAATGGTAAGTGCCATAACGGGAGGACTTGCGGGCGAGATACGAAGTTAAATGTTCTAGGAAGAGAGAACAAAGGGAAAGGAAACAGCAACTTGTGGCGATGGAGCGGAAGAACCGGGAGAACTCAGAAAGCCGGATTACCGCTAAGGGCGGACCCAGAAAGGACTCGTGCGATGCGACTAATTCTGCGTGGGGAAAGAAGCAATGGGGAGCAGAAAAATCTCCCTCGAGAGCCTGTGAGTGTGGTTACCGGAATAACGGTCCAAGCTTCGTGGTGTTGTTTTTATGGGGCAGCGGATGCGCATGTGATGATGGCTCGACGAAGATACTGACTTTGCGATAGCTGAGCGAAACTGCACGAACTTCAGAAGCCAGAAAAGCAGCCAGCTTGCCTTGTGAAGATATTTTGCCTACTTTCTTGCATTTCTTGTCATTGCAGCCGTCAGATGTGCGCTGGACAAAGTTTTCGCGTGGTTATGCCAGCGTGGAACCAGATCTGGTCACGTCAGTATGTTCGTGCGTTCCCATTCGACCAGAGATCTCCCCCGCCCGGGCTCTCGATCTTATTGGCCCAACCTCAAACAGCAGTGGTTACCCCTCCACATACGAAACTGTCACCACCCTTTTCTCGTCAGCGTCGCCAGTCTCTACAGTCACCCGCGCTAACATATCCCCTAGGGCAACTTCGATATAAGCAGCAAGCATGGACTCCGTGTACAAAATTATGACTTCACTTCCACTAAACCTATCTTTCTCGGCTGACGTGGTGTGATTTGCTTCTGTACGCTCGCCCCGATTCTCTCCTCGCCTACATTCTTCCCCTTCCCACTCTCGCCACACTGCCCGCGCACGCAGCTCGTCCGCAATCCACGGAAGGGAAAGGCGACTCGTGATGGGGAGGAAGAAAGGCAGGGGCGGGGTCGCGACTGCTGGTTTTACAGATGGGACGGACAAAGCCGGCGGCAGCGGGAGCATGAGTGACGGATGGGATTGGCTAAAGTTGAAGGGAAAATCGCCAGCTAGCACCAGCAGCGCGGAACCTTCCGACTGCGCCAAGAGCGCCGGCAAACGCGGCGGAAAGAGCGCCAGTGGGACGATGCAACCCGTAAAATCCGGGCGGAACACGTCGGCTGTTGAGAAAGCGCGCGACAATGGCAGGCCGGCGGCGGCTCTCGTTAAAGGCACATCGCTGGCGGTTTCAGGCGGCAAAGGCGCGTCGGGCCCGTCCGCGAAGAGCGGAAAGGGGAACACGACGGGGAAGGCTCCCCCGGCAGCAACAGCAGCAGCAGCAGCAGCAGCGGGGGCGGCGGCGGGAGCGGGAGCGGGAGCGGGAACGGCAGGTAGAGCGGTGCAGGGTAAAAGTGGTGCTGTGAAAACTGTATCCCCGAATCTCACTCCCAGTAAATCTCTCACCACCGCCAGCACCGGCGATCGAAGCACCGCCGCCGCCGCCGCCGCTGCTGCTGCGAATCCTGGTGGGGGAGGTGGGGGCGGTGGGGGTGGGGGGAGCAGCAGTGGCGGGCGGCAGAGGAGGCGCGGCAAGTGGAGGGTGGTGGAGGGGCCGCAGGTGGCGCCACTGCTGGAGCTGCTGGGCAGGTGAGTTGGCTCATATAGGGTGCAGTGCCGGCGAGGCGAGGTGCTGGCGAGGCGAGGTGCTGGCGAGGCGAGGGGATGTGGTTTGAGGTGAGAGCGAGGTCACATCAGGTGGTTTTACAGACGACGTGTGCCAGTTCCTACAGATTAGGTCACATCATATTGCTCCCACCAATTCCGATCGTTCGATTGCGATTTTTTTTTTTTTTTTTTCTTTTCTTTTCTTTTCTTTCCCGACAACACATTGTCCTTCCGTGTCATATCCTCCGTATGAGCCAACTCACCTGCCCGTCTCTTCCTCTCCAGTCACTCGAGTCCTTGATGCTTTCGTCTCGTTTCCCTTACATCAGAGTGGCACAGGAGAGCGCTCAGCATCACTCTGAGGAAGGGGGAGAAGGGAGGAGGGGTATGGAAAGGCAGGGGGATGCGCCACAGGGAACAGCGGATGCGGATGGGATGGCGATAGCACTGCCAGCAGCAGCAGCAGCAGCAGCAGCAGCAGAGGGGGCTGCAGCAGGAGCAGCAGCAGCCGGAGGAGGGGGAGCAGCAGCACGTGAAACAGCATCAATGGCTACGCTTCCTTCCCCACCCGGACCTCCGCCGGTGCTGCTGTGTGGCCTGCGCTCTGTCACCCGCCTCCTCCTATCCCTCGCCTCCTCCCCCTCCCCCGCTTCCTCCGCCCCCTCGCCCGCTCCCTCCTCCTCCTCCTCCTGCTCCCCCGCTCTCTCCTCCCAGGGGACTATACAGCGTGAGACATGGAGCAAGCGACACAAAGGCGCAGGCAAGGGGACAGGCAAGGGGGCAGGCAAGGGGGCAGGCAAGGGGGCAGGCAAGGGGGCAGGCAAGGGTGCGTTTGGTGCTGCTTCCCAGGCTGCGTCTGCTGGCGATAGCTGTGCTGCTGTTGCTGTGGTTCGTCGCCCAACAGGAGTTGAGGCTGAGTGGGATGGCAGTGGGAAGAAGAGGCGGAGAGAGAGCAGCAAGGGAGAAGGTGCGGGTGAAGGCGGAAGTGCTGGAGGGATGGAAGAGGAGAGCAAAGGAAAAGACAGAAAGCGTACTCAGGGAGTGTCAGATCCCATCGTTTCAAACCCAGCAGCATCACAGCCAGCAGCATCACCACCAGCAACAAGCGAGAAACGAACTGAATTGGCGGAGCCAGCCGCAGTAGTGGGAAGAGCAGGAGTTGGGGGGGTTGTTCCCCCTCTGCTTGTCGTGGCAGCAGCAGATGTGTTTCCTCGAGTGCTGACAGCTCACCTGCCAGAGCTAGCCGCTGCCACGGCCGTGCCTCTCGTGCTAATCGCTGCCGCCACTCCCACCGCCTCCGCTGCTGCCTCACTGCTCCTCGCCCAAACGCTCCGCCTCCCGTGCCGCTCCACGGCTGCGCTTGCCATCATGGTCAGTGCCTGCTTCTTCTTGTTGCCTGCGTTGCCTGCATTGCCTGCGTTGCCTATGCTGACCGGCAGTTGATCCAGCCCCGCATGATTGTAGCAACATTTGTCATTTGTAGCCTTGTGACTGTCTCTGCATCTAGTTGGTACGGACTCAACTTTTGCCTCGCTCACTGCCTCTCTTTATCCAGTTTCTTTACCCTGCTCTGCCACAGCTCCATTCCTCAACTATTTTCCACCAAACCAAATTACTGTATTAATATTGGTTTACCCCTCCCAATGTGTGCCCCCATGTCCCTCCTGTGTGCGCTCGTGTCTATGTGTTGTGTGCGGCACCGGCAGCCTGGGTGTGCTGCAGTGGAGAGGACAGCAGAGGCCATTGCACTCCAGTACGCCACCACCATCCATGCCACAGACGCTGCTTGACTGCTCAGCCGTGCATCAGGGCATGCCCCACATGCCATGTGTCACCTCACTCGCGCGCGCGCGTGTGTGTGTGTGTATGTGTGCACCAGCATATGGTGTGCGGTGCGGTGTCTGAAATGCAGCGGAGTGCTGCAGTGCACACATGTTTTAAGATGCATTCTTCTTCAGTCCCTATGATTCAATACACTGCTATAAATAGAAAAAATACCGTGATACGCACATGCGAAACAAGTCAGTGATTCCCGAAATATACAGGCAGGTGCGCGAATGGGAATTAAAAGGATGTGCAATATGAGAAGAGTATTTGAACTGGAATTACTGTGAACGGAGATTGTTTGTTGTATTTTATTTTGATAAGAGCAAGCTTGTTCTTGATGGGGGAATCACACAGAAACTTGTTCCTTGTATGGATATGCCAAATTGCTTGCTTCCAAAAAACACACTTGATACTTGGTGAACGGATGGTCCCTACAATGATCCTCAGAAGCTAGAATTCAGAAAATGGTGCATGAGCTTTTTGCCTTACTGTTATATCCGTAGATGAGCTGTTTTACCTGTATGCACCGAAGATGCAGGCGAGACTACCCGAAAGATGCCGATAAGTGGTATCAGCATAGACATTTGAAGGGGGTGTTCAGCCAGTCGTTCAACCACGTTGCAAAGTTGGCGAACTTAGGACACGCCCTAATTTACGCGCAGCCTTTTCGATAGCTCAAGGGTGCCGCTGGAATCCCTCCAGTATTTAGTCTAAAAAAATTCCTTGTTCACCGAGGTTGAGGTTTTTAGTGGTCTAGATTTTAGAAGCCACGCCTAGCCACGGCGGGTTTAGTCTCGTAAACATGCAGGAAATTAGTTCCAAGGAGAATGGCTTGCAATAACTCTATCGGGACAAGGATGGCAACTCGTTAGGATGACACCAGCTGGTGTTACGGCAGTGGTATGGCCGATCAAGGGCGGAGACGAGAGACAACGAAAGGGAAGAAAAGAGAGCTGTCAGAGTCGACAAGACGGGAGGACGATTGTAGCACGAGGGCGTAGAGCAACAATAGAGACATATTAGAGTAGTGAAATAAGGGGTCGACAAGCGCGGGAGCGCGTCTGATTCTGAGGCGCGCGTCACAATAAGGGGTTGACAAGAGCGGGAGAGCGTGATGGACCAGCTCTTCGCGGCTGCTCTCGAGGAGATCGCTCTTGAAGGCCGTGACGGTAAGCCAGCCGGCCGGCCAGCCAACCAGCCGGCCAACCGGCCAGCCAGCCAGCCAGCCAGCCGGCCAACCGGCCATCCAGACCTGGCCAGGCCAGGCCAGGCCAGACTATGCCAGGTCCAGTCCAATCTAGGCCAGTCTAGGCCGTTCCAGGCCACACCTCCAAGTCAGGCCAGGCCAGGCCAGTCCGAGTCAGGCCAGACCGAGTCAGGCCAGACCGAGTCAGGCCAGACCGAGTCAGGCCAGACCGAGTCAGGCCAGACCGAGTCAGGTCAGGCCAGGCCAGTAGTGGATCACCTGTTCCCTTTCCCGTCTTCCTCCCTCTCTGCATTGCTTTACTTCCCACTATTACTCGTAATGACCTTCCCACCTTCCCTCCCTATCCTCGTTTCAGGCTGCTCCCTTACCGCGCTGCTGCGCCTGCTCTCCCCCACGTGCCAGCAGCTCCGCCTGCCCCTTCCCCTAGACCCCGCCTTCCGCCAGTTGCTCTTCTCCCGCCTCCTCCGCTGCCCCTCCCTCTCCCTCCTCTCCCATCGCCCCCTCCCCGGCTTCGCTCCCTTAGAAGAGTCTGTTTTGGATGGTTATGGTGCAGGGGGAGGGGGAGGAGAGGAGGGAGGAGAGGAGGGAGGAGGCGGAGGAGGAGGAGGGGTAGGGCTGGGAAAGGCTTTATCGGAAGCAGCAGCGGGGAGGGGGGAGGATGAGTGTGGAAATGAAGATTCGGGAGGAAAGAAACAGAAACAAAACCAGAAGAAGAAACCTGGGAAGGAGAAGCCGGTGCGTAACCGGTGGGTGGGGTGCGGTGGTGTGCGGGGTGAGGGAGGTGAAGGAGGAGCGGGAAGCGTGAGGAACGAAGGAAAAGGGAAGAAGGAGAGAGAAGAGAAGAAGCGAGCAGCAGGAGGAGGAGGGGGAGGGGGGGGGAGGAGGAGGAGAAGAAGAGGAGTGGGGATGGGAGCGTGCGGAGAGGGAGGGGGTGGTGGTGGTGGCGCATAAGGGGCTAAGACTGGCGTCTCTGGGCGTGTACGAGGAGAGCGAGTTCGAGTGTGGGCTCAGCGACCTCATGATCGACACTCTGGAGCTCGTTGGCAAGACCAGGTGGGCGGGTGTGCGTGTGTGTGCGTGTGTGTGCGTGTGCGTGCGTGCTGGTGTTTATCAGAATACCCACAAACGCCCTGCAGGTGTGCGTGCATGTGCCTGTAAGTGTGTGTGAGACCTCGTGTGGGCTCAGCGACCTCATGATCGACACTCTGGAGCTTGTTGGCAAGACCAGGTGCGCGTGTGGGTGGGTGGGTGTAAATGTGCATGCGTGCGTGCATGCATGCGACGAAGGCACGGCGGTGTGTCTCAGGCGCAGCTGGCCAGTTCGACGCGGGCGAAAGGACAACCACCACTGTGTGTTATGCCGCTTCGTCTCGCACCCTGCAATGCTGCTGCCTCCGCCCTCCCTCTCTTAGTTCCTCCCTCTCTTTGCTCCTCGCGTTGCTACTGCCAGGCGTGGCGGAGTGTCCCCGGCGCAGCGCAGGTGGCGAGGACGATGCGGGTGAAGAACAGAACAGCAACTTCCATTACGTGCTGCGCCCACTCTCTTGGACACACTGCAGTGCTCCCTGCCCCCCCCCTCTCTCTCTATGTGCCACTCTTTGCACCTCTTGTTTCCCCCCCTCCCTGTCATCTCAGGCGCGGCGGGGTGTCTCAGGCGCAGCTGGCCAAGACAATGCGGGTGAAGCCACTTTTTAGGCACCTCAAAATTCCTCCCTGTCATCTCAGGCGCGTAACAGAACAACATTTTCCATTACGTGCTGCGATCGCTTGAAGCCACTTTTTAGGCACCTCAAAATTCCTCCCTCGCTTCGCGCCTCTCTTCCTCCCTCGCTTCGCTCCCCCCCCTACCAGGCGTGGCGGGGTGTCCCAGGCGCAGCTGGCCAAGACAATGCGGGTGAAGAACAACAACTTCCACTACGTGGTGCGCCACTCCCTCTCAATGTGCCATGCCACTCTTTGCACCTCTCTTTCTTCCTGCCAGGCGTGGTGGGGTGTCCCAGGCACAACTGGCGAAGACAATGCAGGTGAAGAACAACAACTTTCATTACGTGCTGCGATCGCTGGAAGCCAGAAACCTCATTGCCATGCACGCTGTCGTCACCCGCAACTCCCTCGCTCCCAACTCTGCTGCTGCTGCTGGTGCCACTGGTTCTGGTGGTGGTGGTGCTGCTGCCTCGCACGCGTGCCGTACCAATATGCTCTACCTGTCTCGCTTCTCACCCGCGAGCATTACGGGGCAGGGGAACTACCACCTCCCACGTTCTGCTTCTGAATCCGCTGCTGCTGCTGCTTGTGCTGCTGGAGAGCAGTTGGGCACGGGGGGAGGTGCAAGCGACAGGTGGGAAGCTGGTGCGGAGGCAGAGGCATTTTTTATGGCTGCAGCAGGAGGTGGGGCAGGTGGGGGAGGAGGGGGAGGAGGGGGAGGAGGGGGAGGAGGGGGAGGAGACATGCAATGGGGTGGAGGGAGAGAGGGGAGCGAGGGGAGAGGAGACGCAGGGCAAGGAGGGCGAGGGGGGCAAGGAGGAGGCGTGGGGGTTGGAGGAGAGAGTGGGGATGGGAGCGTGCCGGGAGGGTCGGTGGTGCTGAGGGGAGTGGATGATGACGTGGCAGCGATTTTGTCCATATGCGAGTACCTTTCTAACGTGCAGGGGCAGGTGGGTGCAGTGCTGCAGAGTGAGCGTTGTGCAAGGGGGTTTCGGGGGAAAGGGAGGAAGTGTGGGTTGTGGAATGGGGTAAAGGAGGGAAAGGGAAAGGGGGGGATGGGCGAGAGGGGGAGCACGATTGGGGTAAAGTGTGGGTTTGGACTATGGTTGAAATCAATCCTGCATCCAATCCTGCATCCAATCCTGCATCCAATCTTGCATCCCATGTTCTCTCACAGGAGAACCAGCCTCACATGGAGTTCCAATGGATCACGGTGTGACATATTCTTTCGTTGCCATCCTTCCCGTTCCCCCTCTTCCCCCCATCCGCCCCTCTTTATGCTCCTTTCACCACCCTCTCATGCGGAATGACATGACCCACCCTCCTTTCCTCCGCCCTCTCTATGTTCCCGCTCTCCCCTCCTCCCCTGTTCGTTGTGCGTTGACTTTACTGTGCCCATCAGGTGCTAGTGTGTGCAGAGCTCAAGGCTACTCTAGGTTACCGTTTCGCCACAGGTCATCGCCTCTGGAGACGCGTATGCATTCTTCCCCTCCCTCTCCTCCTGTCCTCTCCCTCCCCTCCCTCACCTCCCTCACCTCCCTTTCCTCCCCTCCCTCCCTTCCTCCCCTCCCTCCCCTCCCTCCCCCCCCTTCCCCTCCCTCCCCCCCACTTCCCCTCCCTCCCCTCCCTCCCCTCCCTCCGTCCCTCCATCCCTCTCTTTCTCCCTCCCCTTTCTCTCCCTCCCGCGCTCTTCCCCGCTCTTCTCGCACAGTCTCGTCTCCTGTTACTTTTTTGTCGTTTTTCCTCCCTTCCCTTGTGCACTTTTGACTGTATATTCTCTCTCTATTGCGCCCTCCTCTCTCTTGCACCTGAAGATATTGTCATTCATTCAAATGGAAGAAATTGAAAGGAAACACGTTGTCCCCCTTCCTCCCTTCCCCTCTTTTTTGGAGTATTTTTGCTGTTTTTTGTTCTGGTCTTGTGTGTGTCTGTCCGATTGTTACCAACACTCTTTCATTCATTGTTTCCTCACTCCTTTGTCTCCCGTTTTGGTCTTTCCTTTCATATCTCTCCCATTTGTACATTGCCCATGCGTCACCCATGCGTCGCCCCCTCGCACCCACTACGGCTGCAGTACCGCATGGTGCAGGCAGGCATCATCCGCAACTTCCATCCAATCCAAGCCTATATGGACAATCTTTTAGTCGACTAAAATTGCCTTGCATTCTTTCATCTCCCATCCCATGCATCCCCCCCTCGTACCCACCACAGCTGCAGTACCGCATGGTGCAGGCAGGCATCATCCGCATCTTCCAAGCCTATGTGGACAGCAGGGTACGCCACCTGCTGCGCTCTCTCTCCCCTTTACTCTCTCCTCCTTCCTCTCTCCTCCTTCCTCTCTCTTCTTTGCCTGCCTGCCTGCCTGCCACACACACCTCTGATCTCCTCCTGTTGAAGCATAGCCTGGCTTTCGTACTTGCTACTCGTATGTGACCTTTTTAGTACGCCTCTCGCCGTTTACTGCTCGTCTTCACTCGTCTTCACTCGTTTTCCTCGTTTCCCTCGTTTCCCATTCTGTCCTTTCTCCTCTGCATGGAGATGGTGCCATGTGTGCACTGTGCAGCTGCTGGTGCAAGAAAACATGCACAGAGTCGCAGCTCCGCTCGCTCCTTTCTCTCCTTGCCCACCCCCCAACACTGAGGCAGCACAACACCCAACCCAACTCTTGTGTACTCTAATTTCTCATTCTCCGTTGCTGCTGCAACCCCTCTCCCCTCCTGTGTACAGATGGTGCCGTGTGTGCAGCTGGTGCGGACGTACACAGAGGCACAGCTCCGCTCCTTCCTCTCCTTGCCCTGACTCACCCTTTAACGCCGGGACACCACCCAACTCCTTGTTCTCCCTGTTCCCATTGTAACCCCTCTCTTGTTCCCGCTCCTGCATGTAGATGGTGCCGTGTGTGCAGCTGGTGCGGACATACACAGAGGCTCAGCTCCGCTCCTTCCTCTCCTTGCCCACCCTCCAACCACCCTCGGATGCTCTAATAAAGGGGCGGCAGGGGAAGGGCAAGCGAAGAGGCATGGTTGAAGAGGATGGGGATGGGGATGATGATGATGATGAGGAGGAGGATGATAAGGATGATGATGATGATGATGGGGATGGGGATGGTGATGATGCTGATGATGGGGAGGATGATGATGATGTTGGTATTGACGATCAATCAGCAGCAGCAGCAGCAGCAGCAGCAGCAGCAGCAGAAGCAACAGCAGTGGGGTTGGGTGGGAATGTATGTGGGGCCTTGATTCCCAGAAGAGTGGGTGAAAAGGCAGCAGCAGCAGAAGCAGCAGCAGAAGCAGCCTCTGCTGCGTGGGCTGCTGCATGTGGGATAGGCGGTGAGCAGAGCGTGTGCTTGGCAATGGAGCTCAGTGCGGAGCAGCAGGTGTTGGATGCGGTTCAGAGGCATGCTCCCGATGGGGTGCTGCAACCAGAGGTGAGAGAGCTGACTGTTTAAAGCGGGGGAGAAGAAGAGAGAGGATGAGACTGCGTGCTTCATAAAGTGCTGAATGCTGTTAACAGGCATTCCTTTCCATGGGTTGGTGCAGAGAGGTGGGGGGGAGCCGATTTTTGAGTCGACTCAATAGCTACCTTAAACTCGTCGTCCATGCTCCCTGTCAGTCTCCTTTTCACCGCGACTCAAGCTTCCCGCATCCCTCCTCCCCTTCCCCACCCACACGTCCTTCCTTCCTGCGCCACCTCTCCTCTCCCCTTTCCTCCCCCAACACCCCGCCCCCCCCCTCTCCATCCCCGCCCCTTCTCTCTCCCCCCATTCTCCCCTCTCCCTCTGTGAAAATCAGCTGGCGGGGGCGATGGCGGGGGTGGGCAAGAAGCGGTTCTACCGCATAGTGCAGGACCTGCAGGAGATGAAGCTCATCACCGCCCACACTGAGAACCATTAGGGCATGACCACTGTCCCTCCTCCATTTCTCCTCCACTCACACTCCCTGCGTCCCCCCTCCCTTCCCCCGCTCGTCCTTCCTTCCTGCGTCCCCTCTCCTCTTTCCCCCCCTGCCCCTTCACTTCCCCTCCCTTCCACCCTCCACTCCCTCCCTTTCTACCCTCCTTCACCGCGCAGCTGGCGGGGGCGATGGCGGGGGTGGGCAAGAAGCGGTTCTACCGCATAGTGCAGGACCTGCAGGAGATGAAGCTCATCACCGCCCATGCCGAGAACCACCAGCGCATGACCGTCTACCGCCTGCGTGCCCTGGGGCCCCCTCCTCCTCCTGCTGCTGCTGCTGCTGCTGCTGCTGCTGTTGCACCTCTGCTGCTGGGAGCAGCGGTGGGCGACGGAGGTGGCAGGGGGGGAGGAGGAGGAGAGGGAGGAGGGGGAGGGGGAGCGGGAGGAAGAGGAGGGGAAACAGGAGGAGTGGCAGCAGAAGCGGTGGGTGGGGTGGATGAGGAGGATGGAGGAGGGAGTGGAGAGGATGGGAGGGAGGAGGATGGGTTTGGAGCACTGGCTATTGTGCCTTCTGCTACTGCTGTTGAGGGGTTTCCTGGGTACGGTGAGGCAGAATGTGTTGGTGCGGATGGTGGTGGTGGTAATGGTGATGGTGATGGGGACAGGGATAGTGATGCTGACAGTGATTCTAATGGTGATGGTGATGGTGATGGTGATAATGATAGTGGTGAATTCTCTCAGGGAGGAGTGGAAGAGAGGGAAGGTAAGGGGAGTGGTGCAGGAGAAAAGAGAGGGAGGCCGCGAGGGAGAGGGAGAGGAAAGGGAGGTGCGGTTGAGGGAAGGGACGAGGAGAACGAGGCTGGTTGGGGGAAAGGAAGGGGTAGGGCAAGGGGTAGAGGGAGGGGGAGGGGGAAGAATGAAGCAGGGGAAGACACAACAGCCGAAGGAGAGATTGCTAGGCAAGGCAGAGGGAGAGGGAGAGGGAGAGGGAGGGGGAAAGGAAGGGGTAACGGAGTTGTGGTTGAGGAAAGTGATGAGGAGGAAGCCGGTGATATGGGGACTGGTAAGGGGAGGGGGAGGGGGAGGGGGAGGGGGAGGGGGAGAGGGAGGGGAAAGGGGAGGGGGAGGGAGAAGGGAAAGGGGAGGGGGAGTGGGATTGGGATGGGCAGGGACAGTGGAGCTGCAGCAAGCGAGTTAGATGGAGGTGAGGGTGAGTATGAAGCAGGTGGGAAGGAAACGCAAGGGGTTGAAGCAAATGGAGTAGCAGTGGCGAACGTAGAGGATGGGAAGGAAGGAAGAGGGAGGGGACGAGGAAGGGGAAGAGGACGAGGAAGAGGGAGGGGCAGGGGAAGGGGAAGGAGTATTGCAACGAGAGATGAGGGAGAGGGAAGCGAAGATGTTCTACTGACAGAGGAAATCGAGGATGGAGATACAAAGGAGAGGGCTGGGATAGGTACAGGTGCTGTGGTGGCGAGAGCTGATACGTCTGCGAGAGGGGATGAAGAGCAGGCGGATGTGGAGTCAAGAGCGTTGACGTTGACGGGGGAAGCAATCCAAGTAGGGCAGGAGGGGCATGTGGGAGAGTATGTGGGAGAGTATGTGAGAGAAGATTCTGTGATTGCGGTGGGGGAGGAGGATTCTGTAGTTGCGTTGAAGTTTGAGGATTCTGTGATTGCACTGGAGGAGGAGGAGTGTGAGTTGGTTCTAGCTGCAGCAGTGGGTGAGGGAGAGGATGAGAGAGGGAGGCACGGACGCAAGCGCAGGAAGATTGATTTTGGAGTGAAGGGGAAGGGAGATGGTGAAACGGGAGATGGTGACACGGGAGATGGTGACACGGGAGATGGTGACACGGGAGATGGTGACACGGGAGATGGGAAGCGGGATGGGAAGGCGACAGCAGCAGCAGCGGCGGCAGTTAGAGGAGAGAGGACTAGAGCTGGCTCGTTGCTGGCTGCTGCTGCTGCAGCGGCAGCGGTTGAAGGGGCAGGGGCAGGTGTGGGGGTGAGGGAAAGGGACGATACAGTGCAAGGGAAAGCAGCAGCAGCAGTGGAGGTGCATGGAAGGAACCTTGCTGTTGAACGCTCAGCAGCAGACACGGCACAAGGAGAGAGAGCAAATGGGACAGCGGCAGAAGCAGAAGCACGCACAGCAGAAGAGGCAGCAGACGAGGAAGTGGAGGAGACAGCCATAAGAAGAGAAGAATTCATGAAGGCAACAGATTTAGACATGGCCCCATTATCCGATGGCAGTGGTGGTGGTGGTGGTGGCTGTGATGGTGCTGCTGCTGATGATGGTGGTGGTGCTGCTGCTGCTGCTGCTGATGATGACGATGGTGATGATGGTGGGGAAAGGGACAGGAGAAGTGGTCATGAGGCATGTCACTTATTGTCATCCCAACCCCCATCTGATCATCTGGACCCTCGTCTGGACCCTCGTCTGGAAAATGCTGGGTCAGGTGAAGGGGCTGGCATGGTATCAGGGCATCCTGCTACCTCCACCTTCCCTTCCCTGGACTGCCCTTCTCCCTCATTCCCCTCCCCACACACAAACCTCGCCCATGGTACTTCTCCTCCTTTCTCTCCTGCACCCGCTTCCCATTCTCTCCTTCCTTCTCTTGCTTCTTCCACTCCTCCTCCCGCTCCCCTGTCTGCTGTCTCGCTCGCACTCGTATCCCAGGGCCCTTCTAAGCCCATCATCTCAAGGGTCTATACACGCCGTCGCAATGCCGTACAGCCAAAGCATGAGGCGCTTCAGAAGCAGCAGCCTGATATCAGTGCTCAAGAGAGGAGCCGAACACGGGAATGCAATGAGGGCTGGAAGAGCGGGCAGCAGAGAGAGGTGGAGGAGACACGAGGGCTTGAAGAGCGGGAGACGGATGGAGAGAAGGAGGTAGGTGAGAAGGAGGGCAGTGAGGATCAGAAGCAGCAGCGGCAGAGGGGCAGAAGCAGGAACAAGGAGCAGAAGCAGCAGCAGCAGAAGCAGAAGCAGCAGCAGAAGCAGCAGCAGCAGAAGCAGAAGCAGCAGCAGAAGCAGAAGCAGCAGCAGAAGCAGACGCAGCAGCAGAAGCAGACGCAGAAGCAGAAGCAGAAGCGGAAGCAAGCAGAGGAAGCGGAGGAGGAGGAAGTGAAAGTTCGAAAGGCGGAGCAAGAGGAGCAAGAGGAGGAGGAGGAGGAAGAGGAGCAGGAGCAGAAGCCGCAGCAGCTAAGTCTGAGGAAGCAGCGGCAGCAGTGGCAGAAGCAGCAGCAGGAGCTGCAAGGTCCAGACGAGAGGCCAGTGTCTCGCCGTTCCAACTTCCCCAAGGATGAAGCACTGTGGAAGAGACGAGAGGACACCATTATAGCCTTCCTCGAGGTACACTAGGCCTTATTCCCATCAAGGTATTCCCTCTTTCTCCTCAAGGTATTCCTGTGTTGTGTTGTCATCACCTCCTTGCCCACCCCTGCCCTTCCCCCCCCACCGCTCCTCCCCCGCTTCCCCTCCACCACTCTCCTTCCCTTGCCTTCCTTTTTTTCCTGCATCAATCTCTCCCTTCCTCTTTTTCTTCCCTCCATGGTTTCCTCACAGGGTTTTCACTCCCATCCCCCACACTTTCTTCCTCCTTACCATCCGTCCCTCTCTTTCTCCCTCCCTCCCTCCGTCCATCCGTCCGTCCCTCCCTCCATCCCTCCCTCTCCCCTCCACCTGCCGACACACCAGGCCAATCAGATAGCGACGCGCTGGGAGCTGTACTGGCACATGGTGGTGGCAGAGCTGGCCTTCCTCAACCCTCCCTTCCTCCCCCTCCCCTCCACCTCTCGTCCCCACCAGGCCAATCAGATAGCGAAACGGTGGGAACTATACAGACACATGGTGGCGGCAGAGCGGGCCTTCCGAGCCGCCACCATGGATCGCAAGACCCTCAACCGCATTCTTGGGGCGTGCCCTGCTCAAGCGCATGCTCCTCTCCGTGCCGGGCGTTTCCAGACGGTCTCTCACAACCTTTCCACCCCCCTCTCCCCTTTCCCTCCCTCCCTCCCTCCCTCCCTCCCTCCCTCCCTCCCTCCCTCCCTCCCTCCCTCCCTCCCTCCCTCCCTCCCACCCTCCTCTCCTCCCCCTCTCCCTCCCTCCTTCCCCTTCCCCCCCACCTCCCGCCCCCCCAGGCCAATCAGATAGCGACGCGGTGGGAGCTGTACAGGCACATGGTGGCGGCAGAGCGGGCCTTCCGAGCCGCCACCATGGATCGCAAGACCCTCAACCGCATTCTCGACGCCATGCGTGCGCGCGCCCTGCTCAAGCGCATGCTCCTCTCGGTGCCGGGGGTTTCCAATGGCGGCCAGGCGCGCACTCTCGAGATCGTGCTTTCCGGGAGCGCCGATGCGAGCCCAGAGGCCCTTGCAGCGGTGATTGCGCGGCATCGGAGGCAGGAAATGGAGAATGCGAGGGGGGGCGCGGATGTGATGTGGGGGAAGAAGGCGGAGGGGAGAGGGGGTGGAGGAGGAGGAGTGGGAGGAGGAGGAGGAGGAGGAGGGGAAGGAGAGGGAGCAGGTGAAGGAGGAGGGGATGGAGGGGACGAGCAGAAGCAGCAGACAAGAGGTGATGGCAGGATTGTTGTTGGTGCTGCTGGCAATGCTGCTGCTGGCAGTGGTGCTGGTGGTGGTGGTGTTGGTGGTGATGGTGGTGGTAACAGAGTAGGGACGCGGGCCAACAGATATAAGGTGCATTCGTTTCAGGAGATCAAGGCGAAGCGAGGGGCTGGGGAGGGCGATGGTGAGGGCGAGGGTGAGGGTGGGGGGCGGGTGGCTATACCAGTGCTGAACAACATAGAGAGGCGGCTCTTGGGGCGACAGCTAGATGCTGTGAGGAGGAGAGAGCAGCGCCTGGGTGTTGCTGCCTCTGTGCTGGTGCGAGACAGGTTAGGCGGAGGGGTGGATGGGGGTGGGGTTGGGGATGGGGATACGAAGGTGGATATGGGGGAGGTGGGTATTGATGATGTGAGTATGGGGAGGAGTGGTGTGTTGGGGGGTGTGGGAGGTCAGGGGAAAGCAGGAGGGCATGGTGTGAAAGAGGAGAGGGTTTCATGGGTTGGGATGGAGGCAGGGGATGTTGCTGGTGCTCGTGCTGTTGCTGCAAGAGGCGGAATCAGAGCGGCAGGAGGAGCGGGAGTAGCAGCGGGAGGAGCAGCGGCAGGAGCGGCAGGAGCTGTGCGGAGCGCAGCAGGAGGAGGAGCGGGAGAAGCTGCAGGGTCATTGGCTCTGGGAGGAGGCGGAAGGCTTGTGAGGGGGTTGAGAGGGGACGAAGCAGATGACAGGGTGGATGGGGGTGTGGTCGGAAGGTTCCAGGGAAGGAGGTTGCGACAGGATAGGGAGTTTGACGGGCAGGAGAGAGGGAATTCGATGGCGGAGAAGCAAGGAAAGCACAGGCAGCAGCAGCAGCAGGTGCAGAGGACCAGAGCGGTTCTAAGCGGTGGGAGAGCAGCAGAGAGAGAAGAGCGAGGAGAGGGAGCAGATGGAGGAGAGGGAGGAGAGGGAGAAGAGGGAACAGTGGCAGCAGTGGGAGCAGTGCGAGGGGAGGTGGGGGAGGGAGGGGAGGAGGATGCGGAGGCGGAGCTGTGGAGTGTGAGGAGGCGGTATGGGTATGTTCCAGCTAAGATGGTGCGTGCGCGGCAACTGCACCTCTTCCTCTGGTCCCATGTCAAGTCGAGGGACACAAACACATTCGAGCCAAACCTAGGTGAGGGTGACTTTCTTCAAACCCCCCCCCCCCCCCCCCCCCCCCCCCCCCCCCCCCCCCGCCCCCTGTTCGTTGTCGTTTTATTCTGTTCTGATTCGTTGTGTTTTGGTTTTGTTTGTTTGTTTGTTTTTTTTTTGGGGCGTGGACTGATGGGTCTGATTTGCACTCTCTTTTCTTTTGCGACCACATGACCCTTTTTTTCCATCGTCACCTTGATTTGTTCGTCTGAATGCAGATTCCGACAGCACCCAGGGGTGCAAGTTTGACCTGGCTACGCTTGTGCACGCCATGCCTCTGGAGTTGTTCCTTCAGGTACTGCACCGGCTGTATTTGCATTTCGCCTGCAACCTGCATTTCGCCGGCAACCTGCACTGCACCTGCGCTGCATCTGCTTTTGAGGTGTCAGGAAAACGTTTACATCAGGCATATTACGAGTGTCTATTTGAGACATCTTGTAAACGAATATCATTCAGCAAATTACTCTTGTGCTACAGGAATGTTAGGATCTCCGAATTCTCCATGTGATGAATCCGATCGGTTCTTTCTGAACCGAAAAAAATAGTCGTTTCGAATGCCTCACACCCTGATCAGCAACCAACCCCTCCTGTTTCCCCCTCCCTTTCTCCCTCCATCCCTCTTTTCCTCTTTTCGTCGTCTCAGATTGTGGGTGCGAGTCAGGACATCCCGTCTCTAACACCCCTGGCATTGCAAGGCAAGCTGGTGCGGGACCTTCCGCCCTCGCTGCTGCAGACGCTATTTGATGCCTCAGCACGCAACCGCCTCTCACGCATCTTCAACCTGCTACAACGCCTGCAGGTGGGTCTGAGGGGGCGAAGTTGGGTGCAGATGGGTGGGGGTGGGTGCCCCTGGCGCTGCAGTGCAAGCTGGGAGACCAGCCGCCCTCCCTCCTGCACATGCCTCGGCACGCAACCGCCTCTCACGCATCCTCAACCTGCTGCAGCGCTGGCAGGTGGGTTCAAAGGGGCTGAATTTGTGCCAAATTAAGAGGGCAGACAGGATGCGTACGAGGTTGGGTGCAGGGTGGTAGAGAGGTTTGGCAGGTATGGTTTTGCTTGAGCAAGGATGCGAAAATGTGGTTAGTGAGATTTGAACACTGGACCTTCAGATTGAAGAGGGAGGTATTCAACCAGTGGGTTACCCCACATGATTTTTTTGGGAAAATAATCTCAGGATTTAGTTGCCTGTGTTGTGCTTGATGTGTTGTGGGGGTGTGTGTGTTTGCGCTTTGGGTATTCGTGTTCGCATGTATGTGTTTGCATGTATTTGCATGAACTTGCATGTGATTGCATGTGTATGCATGTGTGTGCATGTGTGTGCATGTGTGTGCTTGTGTGTGCAAGTGTGTGCATGTGCATGCATGTGTGTGCATGTGTGTGCATGTGTGTGCATGTGTGTGCGTGTGTATGCATGTGTGTGCATGTGTATGCATGTGTATGCATGTGTATGCATGTGTGTGCATGTGTATGCATGTGTATGCATGTGTATGCATGTGTATGCATGTGTATGCATGTGTATGCATGTGTATGCATGTGTATGCATGTGTGTGCATGTACGCCCGTCTACATACGTACACCACCCTCTTCGCAGCTGCTATCCCTCCATGTATCTGCACCAGACCTCAAACCCTCCACCTCCACCGAACCTTCCTCTTCACAGCATCAACAACAGCCACAGCAGCCACCACCACCACCACAACAGCAACACCAGGAGCAGCAGCAGCAGCAGCAGCAGCGAGAGGAGCACAGCTACCTAGAGCCATCCTTCCGTGTTTTTTATGTCCTCACCCGTCGCATCCGCCTCCAACATCCCCCCTCCACCCAACTACCCCTCGACTCCAAATCCCCCCTCTCCCCCTCCAACCCCTCTCCCTCCCCCCATACCTCAAACCCCTCCACCTCCTCGCTCCCCAATTCATCCCCACTCGACCCACAATCCTCCCAAACTCCCGCCAACCTCCAACGGGGACTGTTACATAGGAGCGTAGGACCAGAAGCAGTGACTATAGAGCTAGACGCAGCAGAGGAAGAGGGTCTAGCTCTTTACTGGTCCTCCCTCCAAACTGTCTTTTCCACGCTCGCTCCTTCTGTCGGCCGCGGGTTTTTCCCGGCTACCGCTGTTCCCGACTTGCTGAATGCTCGCGTGTGGGCCTCTCACGCCCTCCTGCCGCTGCGGCAGCATATCCAGCTCATGCGGCGCTTACAAGCTGTTTCGTTGCAGGATAGGGAGACGACGGTGCGTGCGACTGCGGCCGAGATCGCACGGGAAATGGGGCTTACAAAAGATCAGGTGCTGTATTCGATATACATGAGGCAGGGGCACCTGCGTATGCATGCTCTTAGCTTGCCGCAGCTGGGTCTGCTGCCTGGGGTGCAGTGGAGCGACCTTGAGAGGAAGAGGAGGCAGAAGAAGAGGAGGAGGAGCGGGGAGAGACGAGGAAGTGAGGGAGAGGAGGAATGGGACGAGGAGGAGGAGGAGGACGAGGAGGGTGAAAGAGGGGGGAGTGAGGAGGAAGCGGGTGGGAGTGGGGGGTGGGAGAGGGAGACGGAGAGGGAAGGGGAGGAACCTGAGGGTGGTTGATGTGCTCGGGAAGAGCAGAGTTGCGGCACTACAGGCGAAGCCTGAGTGGAGGAAATATGGGTGGGAGGAGGGGGGCGGGGGTCGGGGGAGGATGCGAATGGTGGGTGCGAGTGGGGGGGGTAGTGGTGGTGGTGGCGGTGCTGCTGCTGGGAGTGGTGGTGGTGTTGTTGTTGGTGGTAGGGATGGTGGTAGAATGCTTGTGGTTGCGACAGAGAAGGGACTGTTGGGGGCTCGTGGAGGGATGGAGAGTGGGCAGGTGAAACGGAGAGAGGAGCAGAGGAGTGGGGAAGATGCGGCAATGAAAAAACAAAGGATTGGTGGGGATGATTGGGAAGGTGATGGGGATGGTTTTGGTGGGGATAAGGATGGGGATGGTGAGTGGGAAATGCAAAGGGAGGAGGGGGGTGAAAGGGGGGGTTTCGGATACAATGTGGAGGATGAAAGAGAGGAAGGTGGAGGGAGAGGAGGAGAGGGAGAGGGGGAGGAAGGGGAGGAAGGAGAGGAAGGAGGGGAGGGGGAAGAAGGGGAGGAGAGGGAAGATGATGAGGATATTGGGGGGGTTTCAAGAGCACTTGATGGCTCTGCTGTTCGGCTGAGACGTGTCACTTGGACTCAGTTCTCCACACGGTGAGTGTGGTGGGATGGGGTGGGATGGGATGGGATGGGATGGGATGGGATGGGATGGGATGGGATGGGATGGGATGGGATGGTATGGGATGGGATGGGATGGGATGGGATGGTATGGTATGGGATGGGATTGGGATGGTGCTGTGCTGTGCTGTGTGGTCAAGCGTGTCGCTAATCTTTGTTTTCCTCACCCGTCTCTCCCTTCTCTCCTCTCCCCTCCCCTCCTCTCCTTCTATCCCACTCCCCCTCTTCCTCCCCACCCAGCACTCGATTCCCTCTAGATTCTCAAACGCTTCTCCCACCCATTCCCCCTCCCTCCCCCCCACCCCCCTCTCCGCACGCTTATCGAGGAGTGCACGCATGTGCGCGCCCGCCATCCGTGCATGCACTGGCACCTCTACTCGCACCGCCTGCCCTTCTGGCCCCTCTTGAGAAATCCCCACAAGTCTGTCTCTCCTTCCCCCCCATTCTTCAACCCAGCACACTAATTGAGGAGTACGCACGGGTGCGTGCCCGCCATCCGTGCATGCAGTGGCACCTCTACTCGCACCGCCCGGATTCCTCCCCTTTGAGTATCTTCCAAACTTCCTCCCCACCTTCCCCATCAACCCCCCCTTTCAGCACACTAATTGAGGAGTACGCGCGGGTGCGTGCCCGCCATCCGCGCATGCAGTGGCACCTCTACTCGCACCGCCTGCCCTTCCCGCCCTCCGCCTGCCGCCGTCACGTGGCTCTGCTGCGCACCGATGCCCGCACACGCCACGCGCTGCAGGACCTCTGCGCTCTCGTTGCCCTCAGACTGTCCCGCTGGGCCAAGTACAAGCAGGCTCTGGCACTGCAGCAGCAGCAGGCACAGTGGGAGGCGCAGCAGGAGCAAGAACGGCTGGAGCAGGGGGGAATGGATGAGAGGGATGGGGAAGGAGGAGGAGGGGGAGGAGGAGAAGGAGGTGTAGGTGTTCTCACCACGGCTGCGCCAGTTGCTGCCACTGCCACTGCCACCGCGACTGTCACCCCTGACCCCACCTCCGCCACTGCTGCTGGTGCTGCTGCTGCTCCTGCTGCTGCAGGGATTTCTGAGGCACCCGTTCCTTCCCCGTCGCCTCTCTCCATCCCGCCACCAGCCCCCACTCCATCCCGGCAGCGGGAGGTGGTGTGGGAGAGCAGGTGGGAATGGGACGACTTCTCCTGCCCTGAGTTGGCTCGCGCTGTGGATCGGGTGCTCGTTGCTCATTACTCGCTGCGCCCCTGGCTGATGCAGCAGCAGGAGAAGCAGCAGGTAGGGCGTGCGCCTGCTGCTGGTCCTGCGGCTGCTGTGGTGGGTGCAGGGGAGTGGAGAGTGGAGGGACGGGGAGCTGGTCTGACTGGTGCCACTGCTGCAGTTGCCGCTGGTGCAAGAGACTTATCAACAGGTACAGCAGCAGGTGCAGCAGCAGAGGCAGGAGCAGGAGCAGGAGCAGGAGCAGCAGCAGGAGAAAGTGCACCAATGCTTGCCCTTCAATCGTCCAATCCAGCTGCAGCAACCAGCACGGCCATCACCACACTTCACACCTCCCTCGCAACCAATGCAGCCAGAGCCGCGGACCGCAGCCAAACCATCATCTGCAAAAAAGCCCTCAAAGCACAAAAGCTCCTCTCGGAAATGCACCGGCGGCCCTTTGCCGCCCCCGCGTGCGAGCTTATTAAATCCATTCTCAGCGGGACGACTGTCAACGGCTCTCTCCCTCCCCACCTCGTGCACGCGCTGCGACGGTTCCCGGAAAGCGACGTGGTTGTCGCGTTTGAGTTTCTCCGAATGAACGATCTGGTGGTGCCTGGGAAAGGGTCCCGAGCGTTCTTTCTGAACCCCGACCATGTGGAAACGGCTTCTATATCGCCGCTGCCCCCTCATGCCGCTGCTGATAGCGCGGAGTTTACTCAGTGGGTGGAGGAGAGGCGAGAGGTGCTGGAAGGGACGTGGGAAGGGGTGCCTTTAACGCTGAGATGCGGGCATTTGGTGCAGTTGCTCACCTTGGTTTCTCAAGGGCAGCTGGAGCTGAAAGGGGTGCTGCCGAAGAAAGGTGTGGGAGAGAGGGAGGATGATGCAGAGGAGGAGAGGAGGAGGCAGAGGAGGCGGGTGTATGAGAAGTTGAGGAGGGAGGGGAGGGAGGAGGAGGCGGAGGAGGAGAAGGCTCGGATGGGTGGTGCCGGGGAAGGGGTGAACGGGGGAGGAGGGAAGGGGAGGGAGGGTGTGGGAGGGGAAGGGAAGGGTGGGGACGAGCAGAGCGAGGAAGAAGAGGAGGCGGAGGAAGAGGAGGAGGAAGAGGAGGAGGATGGGGAGGAGGAGGAAGGGAGGGGGAATTCGTCGGTGCAGACGCCGTATGGTGTTAGGCAGTTGGTGAGGGGGTTTCCGCATTTGAAGGTGCTTGTAAGGAGCGCCATGGTCCCCGTACCTGAGCTTGTGACCTCTTTATGGGAGAATGCTGTGAAGGGTTGTGTGGGGAATGTGGGGATGAATGGGAATGTGGGGGATGGGGGGCATGTGGGGGATGGGATGGATGTTGAGGGTGTGTGTGAGGGAATGAAGCAGGGAGAAAAGAACGCAGTATTGATGGAAGGAGGGACGGGAGAAGGTGATGGTGATGGTGATGGTGATGGTGGTGGTGGTGGTGGTGGTGGTGGTGTTGCTGGGGGTGATGGTGGTGGTGGAGTTGTTGAGGGGAATGGGAGGAGAGCAGGAGGAGACGAGGTAATGGTGGAGAAGAAGCAAGAGGCTACCTCAGAACCCTCCCGCGATTCTATCTTTGAGGCACTTCAAGAAGCTGCTGGTGAAGGCCCACAAGGAGGTCGTGTTGAAACCGCCGCACAAGTAGCTGTGCTTGAGAAGATAGGGGGAACAGTAAGGGAAGGTGTGAAAGCAGCAAGGGAAGGGAGAGAAGCAGCAAGGGAAGGGAGAGAAGCAGCAAGGGAAGGGAGAGAAGCAACTAGGGAAGAGGCAGAGACAGCAAGGGAAGGGGCACGCGCAGCGAGGGAAGGGGGAGGAGCAGCAAGGGAAGGGACAGAAGCAGCAAGCGAAGGGACAGAAGCAGATAGAGGCAATGAGTGGGGATGGCATCACTCAAGTCCTCTTCTCTCTGCAGTGCAACAACACATAGAGGCCAGGGGTCACAGGGGTTGCTCCTTAGAAGCACTCAAACGCGCACTAGTCCCAACCGCGGCCGGCGAGAGCTCTGCCGCTGTTGCTGGAGGATCGGCAGCAGCAGCAGTACTAGTAGAATTAGCATCAGCAGCAGCAGGAGCAGCGGCAATGGGGTTGAGGGAAGAAGAGGTGGAGAGCTGTGTGGAGGAGTTAGTAGCATCAGGGAAGGTCAAACAGGTCTGCGTCTCTCTGTTCACGTTTTCCCTATGCTTCCTTTCCCTCCGTCCACATTCCTTCTCTTCCCTTCTCCGTGCGTCCCCGTCATTCTCCCCTCGCCTTCTTTCCCACACTCGTGAATAACCTGTTCCTGAGGCGCGTCAAAAACATCACAATTTATTATCCTAAAATATATTCACCTCCCCTTCTTCCTCTCCTCTGAAGTCCTCCAACCTGTTATCCCACGCGCGTGAAAACCTGTTCCCATCTGCGTCTCCTCTCCTCCCGTCCGTCCATTTCCCCATTTGCTGTCCCGCTGTCCCATCTGCTGTCTTTCCCCCAACGCTCATGCTCCCAGGTTGCTCTCTTTGACTCCTCAGTTCTCATGGCGTCGCGCCACGCATCCCTCTTCTTCCTCCGCAAGCAAGACACCTCCGCCGCTTCTGCTCTTGCCACCACCACCACCGCCACTCTTGCTGCTGATTCTAGGACTAGCAACAACCCATCGCAAGCTCTCACCCACACACAAGGGACGAGCGGGGACAAGGGGAAGGGGTTGGCTTTGGAAGCAGGGGAAGGGGAGAGGGAGAGAGCGGCACAGGGCATGATGGCTCTGGGGAGCAGAATAAGGGGAAACGAGGGAGGAAAGGGAGAGGAAGAGCTGGGGAAACAGAGGGGGGAACAAGGGGAGAAGCAGGGTGGGAAGAGAGGGGAGAAAGAGGAGAGGGAGGAGAGGGAGCAGGAGGAGGTGGCGATACGGCCGTGGCTGGATGGCTCGGGGCGGGAGAAAGCAGGTCTGCGGAGCATGTTTGTGCGCAAGATAATGGCTGTGGTGGCGTTCCATCCCGGCATAGAGGAGGTGAGTGCGCGTGGGTCGGTGCGTGTGGGTTGGTGCATGGATGGGTGTGTATGGGTTCATGTATGTCAGTTGGTGCGTGTGCTTGTCATGACATGTAACCGGTGGTTGATCGGAGCATGTTTGTACGCAAGACAATGGCCGTAGTGGCCTTCCATCCGGGCATGGAGGAGGTGAGTGCCAGTGTGTGGTTGGGTGGGTGCAAGGGTGGGTGCAAGGGTGGGTGCAAGGGTGGGTGCAAGGGTGGTGCATGTGACTCAGTCAATGTGGGCTGTTTTGGGCTCCATGTAATGAGGTGAGTGCATCTGTCACTCTCAGCACCGCCGTTTCTTCCCCACTTCGGTTAATCTCAGGAAAGTGTACCCACAAGCAGAGAGGAAGCATTAGCCTGAGCTTGGTTTGCGTGTGGCTGGTGGAAGGGCATGGGAGGAGGATCAGCGATCAGCCACTGTCAGTCACACTGCCAGTCACAAATCCAGAAAATTGTGCCTCAAGTCTCCCGTTTCTCACCTGTGTTCCTCTATTCTCGCCCTTGTTGCAGAGCATGCTGCTGCGTCTCGTTCCGCTTCTCAATCCCCAGGTAAGGCTACACACTGCAAAGGAACCAGTAACTCTAGCTCCTTCTCTTCATTGCACAGTGGTGCAACTAGTAGCTCTCTCTCACAGCACTGCTTGCGTCAGCCCCCTTAAATTGCACATTGCGCATTGTTGCAGCAATAGCCTTACATCGCCGTGTTATGTTCAGTTCTCCACAAACAAACCCCTGCTTTACTTCACCCTTACCCCTTTTTTCCCCTGTGTTACTTTCAGACATGCAAAGATTTGATATCCTGGCTTATTGCCGACGGTGCACTGCGGTTACAAACGGTAACATCAGCTCGACCGAAGGCTGTCGGGCCGAGGTTGCTTAAGCCACGTAAACGGAGAATGGTCAACAAAGAGGGAGAGTATATAATGCTTGGCAGCCAACAATTTGATGGAGATGGCAAGCTTAGTGTATTGGATTCGGTTCTAGAGGTAAGCAAGCACTATTTTGTCAATCCTTCCTGCACACGCCTGTTTTAAGTGGCGTGCGTGTTGTGCTGCTGCCTGGCTTGTGATAGATCGGTGCGTAAGGAAGGACACATGTATCACAATGAAGTCATCTTCGGCTAGCCCTTCCGTTGCATTAACAATATGGTTTGCTCTGTTTCCACCTGGGTGAATACCTGAAGAGGTCTGCCTTTGATGGACCAGCATTTCTGCGAAAATACCGCCATATATGGGTAGCCAAATTATGTTAGTGGACCTGCGTGAAAAGGAGGCTGGATTTCCTCCTGGGTTCAGCTAAAGTTCTTTCCTCAAGAATATGTTTCAATATTTGTTTTCAGGAGTGTAGCAGCATGCTTGCAGACAGAAGGGAAGCGGAAGAATCTTGGAGCGAGTGATTCCAGCCAGAAGGGCATTTATCTTAGCGGTAACACTCATTGGGGTCGATCGCACGCGAGGTAAGCCACGTGTCCGAATCGTAACTAAAGTATCTTCCGATTGCCTCCATGGTAACCAACATGCCAGTTTGGTCAACATTATTTCCAGAATGGTAATGAACAGTGCCAGGGCCTCAGATTTACTTTTAGGGTCGTCGACCCATCAGGGTACCCTTGTGTATAAACCCTGATTGACAGTGTTTCTAAAAAAAAAAAACTGAAATATCAGGGTTCCCTTTGAAAAAAGGCTGATGTATCAGTGTTCAAAAATATAAAAGGTTGTTAATTACTAGAAACCTCTACTTCAAATACTAAGTCAGTAGCAGTCGTGTTATCATCACTGCCTTTGGCTTCTCTCCTCTCCTCAGCTTGGGACACCAGTACGTGACAGTGCTCTGCCGCAGCACACACATACACGTTGAAGCTGCAGGGGCAGGGTGTGGAGGAGGAACCGGATTGACAGGCAGGGTGAGGCAGGGAAAGAGAGAACAGGAGGGAGAGAGGGGGGAAGATTGGCACAGTTGGGGGGGAGACGACTGGGGGAGAGATGGAGTGCACGGAGTGAGGGGCAAAGGGAGCAGAGGAATGGACGGCGGGCGCGCGGGTCATGCGCGGATCATGTCGTCGCGCAGCACGATGATCTGCGCACCGCACGCGGTGCAGATGGCCTTTTCAACCGCGGTTCGTGCTGGCGACGAGGCAGCCTTCGGTTGCCGCCATTAGCACGAAAAACTACGCGTCGTCGAGTCGTAGCGGGCCTGCGACGCCGACGGGAATTGCCACGTGGTCTACGACCATCTAGCAGAATGCACTGCGGATCGCGTCGAACGAGAGCGATGTGTTCGGTGAGACAAGAGGAGATTCGGCGGCGCTTGCGATGGGTTCGATTCCCGACAGCCCGCCCTTTCTGGTGCTGATGGCGCCATGAATTAGTGCAGACGAGAAAGCAAGAGAGGAATCGGGCTGAGAGGGAGAGGGAGAGAAACAGGAGGAAAAGAAACAAGAGATTGGGTTGGAGGGAATGGGAGCATCAGTGCTTGCTGGTGCAGGAACCCTCGCAGCCCTCCAGCACAACATGGTTGCCACATCCTGATTAGCTATCACTTCATGCTACAGCGTTACTGCCCAATGAAGTGCTGGCACCGCAGGAATATGAGATTCCCTGTTTTGCGGGCAAATGCACACGGAACAAGTAAGAATTTCTTTCAGTGTTAGTTTCGTTACAACGCCGTAGAATCAGTGTACTTGGGAAACGAAAGTCTGAAATTTCAGTGTGGCCTAACAAAAAAGGCTGAAAGATCAGTCCCACAAAAATCTCAACGCTGATTTTTCAGTGTAGGTAAAAAAAGGGCTGCCAAAATCAGGAATTTCAGGGTTTTTTTCCTGATATCTGAGGCCCTGAACAGTGCATTCCGAAATCCCAACTGGTAACTCGTCAGAACATCCGCGATGTACACCGTACGTACCCTGTATGACTCGGCAAAACTGAAAATGAGATGGATATAGGCTTCGCATTGTAACATATTTGTTATAATTTCACGTTTATAACTTGAACATGTGTAGATGATAGTAAAACAATAAATGCTATTATGTTTGTCAAATTGTTGTCTTGACTAGGGATTACGAAATTAAAATGGATCCTGAATACGGTGTCTACAGAAGTTATGTGCTAGTCTCTTATAAATATAACCAACATATATGCAAATCCAACCTGTTACCTTATGTAGTATCGTTTTTGACCTACGTCATGAAATGGGTCGTGTTGTCCGCAGCGTGAAACATTGTATAAATTTCTAACAGGCACCTGTGCTGCATGCACCAGAGATGGACCCCCCTATAATCACTACAACAAGCCCAAATTGCTTGAGATCATGGCAATCTGTTGTCCACGACGAATGTATAAGCTTAGCTCAACAGCGGGGCTACTCATGTTCTTGAACCTGTTCTTTGGAGAATTCAGTTACACCTTGTCCACCCGCAACACCCATCGCAGAATCACCACCGTCCGCAGGTTGTATGGTGTGGGTTGGCGCTCCATACGATGGCCATTGCTGATTCATGTATGACTGCATGGGCACAGTCCATGGGTACTGCCAGTACAGCCCTTCTCGAGGTGTGCCAACCCCTCTATGCATGCCATGGTCATTATTAGATGTGGCAATCCCTGGCTCCGGCATAGGGACTCTAACTCCCTGCCAATGCAAACCCATCTGCTGCAGCCAACCGCGCTGCTGAACCGCCCGATGTTGGTCTGCCTGCTGCGCCATGCCCTGCTGCGCCATGCCCTGCTGCGCCATGCCCTGCTGCCGCCCTGCATGTAGCTGCCGGGCATGCGGCTGCCCTGCCCGTTGCTGTCCCCCCTGCTGCTGCCCTGCCTGCCACATCCAATATGCCTGCTGCTGCCATGCCTGCTGCTGCCCAGCATGCTGCTGCCCCACCTCCTGCTGCCCTGCTGGCTGCTGTCCTGCCTGCTGACCTGTCTGCTGTCCTGCCTGCTGACCTGTCTGCTGTCCTGCCTGTTGACCTGTCTGCTGTCCTGCCTGTTGCCCTGCCTGCTGCCCTGCCTGCTGCCCTGCCTGTTGCCCTGCCTGCTGCCCTGTCTGCTGCCCTGTCTGTTGCTGCCCCTGCCGCTGCCCACCTATCTGTTGCTGCCGTCTCTGCCGTTGCTTTCCCTGTTTTTGCCGTCTCGGCTGCTCTCCTTCTCCTTGAGTTTCACGTCGCCGGATTCTTTGAGACGGGCCCCCAGACGTACTTCTGTCAATAATTTCTGTTGCAGCTTCTTCCAAGTCTGGCACTTGTTGTTGCAGATTCAGGCGTGACAGCTTGCGCAAACGACTCCGGACAACAGCTGCGATACTTCTTGGGCCCGCCGTATTCACGGTCCCCTGTTGAGTACCCTGTTGCTGCATGCCTTGGCTGCATGGCGCAGCGCCGATTGCGGCGCCATGCTAAGGCATGGCGCATTTGCGGGCTGCGCCATGCCTTGGCTGCATGGCGCAGCGCCGATTGTGGCGCCATGCCTTGGCATGGCGCATTTGCGGGCTGCGCCATGCCTTGGCTGCATGGCGCAGCGCCGATTGGGGCGCCATGCCAAGGCATGGCGCATTTGCGGGCTGCGCCATGCCTTGGCTGCATGGCGCAGCGCCGATTGCGGCGCCATGCCTTGGCATGGCGCATTTGCGGGCTGCGCCATGCCTTGGCTGCATGGCGCAGCGCCGATTGCGGCGCCATGCCTTGGCATGGCGCATTTGCGGGCTGCGCCATGCCTTGGCTGCATGGCGCAGCGCCGATTGCGGCGCCATGCCTTGGCATGGCGCATTTGCGGGCTGCGCCATGCCTTGGCTGCATGGCGCAGCGCCGATTGCGGCGCCATGCCTTGGCATGGCGCATTTGCGGGCTGCGCCATGCCTTGGCTGCATGGCGCAGCGCCGATTGGGGCGCCATGCCTTGGCATGGCGCATTTGCGGGCTGCGCCATGCCTTGGCTGCATGGCGCAGCGCCGATTGGGGCGCCATGCCAAGGCATGGCGCATTTGCGGGCTGCGCCATGCCTTGGCTGCATGGCGCAGCGCCGATTGCGGCGCCATGCCTTGGCATGGCGCATTTGCGGGCTGCGCCATGCCTTGGCTGCATGGCGCAGCGCCGATTGCGGCGCCATGCCAAGGCATGGCGCATTTGCGGGCTGCGCCATGCCTTGGCTGCATGGCGCAGCGCCGATTGCGGCGCCATGCCTTGGCATGGCGCATTTGCGGGCTGCGCCATGCCTTGGCTGCATGGCGCAGCGCCGATTGCGGCGCCATGCTCGTGTAGGGAACTATAGGCGCACACAACAATGACTACGATGTGAAGACCACGGGTCGGGGACATACCTATATGGGGCGCTGCGCACCATTGTCGACAGATCAGCGTTCACCAGGGTGACTACTAACTTGGTGTTATGATCTGTTGGTGTGATTAGGGTTAGGAGGTAGCGGGACGATTTGGGTAAGGGAATTGGGTTGGGAACTACAGAAATTGGTTGTGTTGTACGTTCAAATCTGAGTCATACAGGGTACGTACGGTGTACATCGCGGATGTTCTGACGAGTTACCAGTTGGGATTTCAGAATGCACTGTTCATTACCATTCTGGAAATAATGTTGACCAAACTGGCACGTTGGTTACCATGGAGGCAATCGGAAGATACTTTAGTTACGATTCGGACGCGTGGCTTACCTTGCGTGCGATCGACCCCAATGAGTGTTACCGCTAAGATAAATGCCCCAGCCAGAATTAGCACGTTCCTTGCCTTTGCACGGCACAAGTATCAGCTGTGATGTCCCTTTTCCACGTGGCCAAAGCTGAATGGGTACTAATTGCTTCCACGTGTTGAGTCGAGCCTACATCAGAAGCAAGCTTATTGGTCGTAAACTAACGATTGGTCGTAAACTAACGCCGCAACTCCGAGTGGCGTTCCCAAGCCGCAACAAGCGAACCTCGGGTTAGGCTAGGGTCTTTAGCTCCACCGTCGCTACTTGGTATGGTATCCCAAACCAGCATAAATACATCCTCTCAGCGCCGTCAACCTTGGTTTGTACGCGCTGTGGGGAGCAACTGCACTGATCCCACAACCGCCAGGGGGGCGGACATTCCGCGCGGAAAGATCAGTGAGCGGTGCCGTCGCAGAGTGCTGCGCGAGGCCGATTCGTTCCCCCGAGCCTTTCCCCGCACTTCGCAAACTACGAACTAGCAGTGCATTTGTCCCCTCCTCTCTTACCGTCCATCCGAACTTGAACATTCGAACTTTCAAGTTGCGCTGATATCGAGGATTCCGCCTACGTGCGTTCCTCCGCCCCTTGCACCATCCATCTCCAAAACTCTGATCTCTCACGACTGATGCTCCTATTTTTATTTTATTTTGCTAGCCAGGCTGCTTGACAGATCTCGAGTCCTGCTTAGCAGCTAGAGCTTCTAAGGCTGGGCTAGTTCATCCGCGTCGTCTCGAGTCCGCAAATTTCTTTGGACCGATCCCGATAATCGTTGAAATTAGCGCAAATGGCGGCCGTATCGTCCGCTAATGCAGCAGCAAGCTTGGCGCTTTCAAAGACAAGCGGATCGGTTGCCACATGGGGTGCAGAGTCACCCATTGGTAACATCGCTACAAACAACGTGCTTCACTTGCCATCGAGAGCCTACTGCACAGCGTTTTCAGCAGGACCTGCCGCTAAGCGATCGCACATCGTCGTCGTGGGCTTCGCCTCACCCGCCCACCGATCGCCCGCGACGTCGCCCAGCGACGATTCCTCACTCCCTTCATTCGCCAGCGATCGCACGCTATTTCTTGCGAGTCCTCTTTCTGCGTCGTCTACGCACGGATCTAAACTGACGCCTTTCGCAGCCGACGGCAACGCGACGACAGAAACCGGCGGCGGCGGCGGAAACGGCGCTTCCGGCGGCTCCAGTGGCGGCGGAGGCGGCGGAGGCGGCGGAGACGGCGGAGACGGCAGCGGTAATGGCGGGGATAGCGACAGTGAGAAGAACCGCGCGGACGCATTGGCCGCGCTCGCCGCAATTGGGCGCACCGTGCAATCCCTCCCCGCTGATCTCGCGGAGGCAGTTATGGCGGGAAGAATCCCCGGCATTATCGTGGAGCGATTCGCGGCGTTGGAGAAATCGCCGCTTCTGAAGCACTTCCTGGGTTTCGACGGGTTCAAGGAGCGTCTGCTAGCTGACGATCTGTTCATGACCAAAGTGGGGATCGAGTGCGGCGTGGGTCTTTTCACCAAGGTACTGTTTTCGCGCTCCTGTGTCTGCGTGTGCTGTGCCTGCCCGTGCTTTTTTAGCTAGATTAACTAGATAGTCTTCTCTGTCATAGTGGAGTAAATGAAATACGAGAGGTGTATGCAGTGTTATGGCGCAGGTAAAAACTCAATATATTTTATATTCAGTTGCCGTACTCGGCTGGAGGTATTGTATCGGAGGTAATGTAGCGAGTCCGTGTGGGTTGAGCAACACATTACAGGTCTGGTCTGATCTGGTCTGATCTACTCTGGTCTGGTCTGGTCTGATCTGGTCTAGTCGGGTCCCGTCCGGTCTGGTCTGGTCTTGTTTGGTTTGATCCGATCGTGTCCAGTCTGTTGTGGACTTGTCTGGTCTGGTCTCGTCTGGTCAAGTCTAGTCCGGTCTGGTCCGGGCGGCCTGCTCTAGTCCAGTCCGGTCTGTGCCGCAACGGCTGTATACCTAATGGCATAACCTTACAATGAAGAACACGCGCCTAACACTTGATCTCTGCCCTTTTCAGTCTCCCCTTCCCCTTCCCCTTCCCCTCCTCTTCCCCTTCCCTTTCCCCTTCCCCTTATCGTGCCTGCATTCCCCCCCGCGGCGCAGACAGGAGCGGAGTACGAGAAGCGCCGGGAAAACTTCTTTAAGGAGCTCGACTTTGTCGTTGCTGACGTGGTAAGTTGTCGCTGACGTGGCTGGTTACTGCTGACGTGGCAGATTACTTCTGCTATAGCGCTAGAGCCAGCGGTCGTTTGCACTCCGCTGATTATTCCCATAGCAGCATGACCTCATGGCAACCCCCCACCCTCAACATCATCCACCCCATCCTGTCCTCCCCTCCCTTTCCCCCACTCTCTCACCCCCTTCCCGCTCCCCCTCCCCCTCCCCATCCCCCTTCCCGCTCCCCCTCCCCCTCCCCATCCCCCTTTCCCCCCACCGCCCCCGTCCCCCAGATCATGGCGCTGGTGGCGGACTTCATGCTCGTGTGGCTGCCCGCGCCCACCGTCGCCCTCCGCGCGCCTCTCGCCAGCAACGCCGGCAAATTCGCGCGTTTCCTCTCCAACTGCCCCGACAACGCCTTCCAAGTGCGCTCCCCCCGCTTCTTCTCTCTGCGCACCCCCCCGTTCCCACTCCCCACATTCTTCCCCCTTCCCCTTCTCCGTTCCCCCAACTCCCCCCCCTCCCCTTCCCAAGCGCGCTCGGCCCCTTTCCTTCCCCGCTTCCCCTCCCCTCGCCTCTAGCGCCTCCAATCCCTGGTCCTGACCTTGAGAATTTTCATAATGCGTTGCACCACGTCCTCTCCCTCCCTCTCGACCCCTCCCTCCTGCTCTCCTCCTCTCTTCCCCCTTCTCTCCCCTCCTCTTCCCCCTCTGTCCCGCTTCTGCTTCAGAATTGCTGCGTTACCTTCAACCCTTCTCCCCAACTCTCTCCCCTCTCCCCTCTATTGCTCCCCCCCCTGCCCCGCGCCTGGCTCCGCCGCGCGCGCCGTATCCCCTGTGCGCTTTATCCCCCGCCAGGTGGCTCTGCGCGGAACGAGCTACTCTCTGCTCCAGCGAGTGGGCGCCATTGTCGTACGTGCTCCGCCCCGCCTCCCTCCCTCACCCCCCCTTACTCTCCCTCATTACCTCATTTCCTCATTCCCTCATTTTTCCTCTCCTTCCCTCACCTCCTAGCCCAAGCTTCTCCCTTTTCTCCTCCCGACCTTGCTAGCATGACTTCTTGAAGAGCAATCAAGGACTCGAACCATCCTCCCATCCCACCTGACCTCGTTTCTCCATGCTCATATATCTCCCACCCCCAAGTTTACTTTTGAGAATTCTCAAAAGTGATTTCGATATAGCAGGCTTACAATTCCCACCCCCAAGTTTCTTACCTTATGACTTTTGAGTCGACTCAAAAGTCACCTCATATATCTCCCACCCAAGTTTCTTACCTTATGTTCCTCGATTTCCTCTCCCCTCGCTTCCCCTCTTTCCCGCCACGTCCCTTAATACGTCACTTAATACGTCACGTCAGATATATCCCACTCCCCTACGTGAACCTGCATCCCGTTGTTTCCTCTCCCTGCTTTCTGCTTCCCCTTAACCCCGTGACTTGCTCCCTTGTTGCATGCCTGCAGCGCAATGGCGCCAAGCTGCTAGGAGTGGGCACTGTAGCGTCTCTGGTGAGTGGTGGGGAGGAGTGGGAGTGGTGTCCGGAGGGGTGAAAGCAGTTAGGGGAGAAAATGGAATGATGTATGTGTTCAAGAGGAACTGTATCATTGTGCTTGATTGCATTTCACGGAATGGCATGGGATGATAGATACGGCACATGGCATGATGACATGTCACAGCATCGAATGCATGTATCCCGTTCCCCTCCTCCTCCTCAATTCCCCCTCAATTCGCCGTTTGCTGCTCCGCTGAGAATATGTCACAAGACCAATTCCTCTTCAACCCCTTTCCACCTGGCCTCCCTGCCATCTTTATTGCTCCTCCCTCGTCCAATCCATCCTTCCAACCCTCTACCTCCACTAGAGGGTTCGTATGGATGGATGCACAAATACAGCTGCGGCATGACCAATGCTTACATCCTTGCATGCAAGTTCCTGGCAAGGCAACCTCAATCCCACTTAGATTTTCTCATCCTCCCCTCCCTCTAATACACTTCCTGCCCCTCTTCCCCCTCTCCCCCCTCAACCCCCTCTTTTTTCCCGCTGCCCATCAGTTCGGCTGTGGCATGACCTATGCGCTCATCGTCGCTCGCAAGTCCCTGGCAGCGAAGCAACCCCTTGCTCCCTCTTTCTTTTCACATCTCCCTCCCCTCTTCCCCGTCTCCCTCCCTCCATGTCCCCCCCTCTCTCCCCTGCCCATCAGTTCGGCTGTGGCATGACCAACGCGCTCATCCTCGCGCGCAAGAACCTGGCGGCAAAGCAAGCAGCGGCAGACGGCAGTGCGGTGGCGAGCGGGCAGCAGGAGGGGGAGGAGACCAAGGTGCCAATTCTCGCAACCAGTGTGGCCTATGGCGTCTACATGGCCGTGTCCAGCAACCTCAGGTACGCCTGCTGGTGGTGGGTGGTCGTGCTGGTCGTGCTGCTGGTGGCGGTGGTTTTCTTGGTGGTTCTGTGTATGGCGTCTACATGGCCGTTTCAAGCAACCTCAGGTAAGCGTGGGATCAGGCAGTGTGTGCATGTGTCAAGTCCCTGGCAGCAAAGCAAGGTCGGCAGCAGGAGGGGGAGGAATCCAAGGTGCCAATCCTTGCAACCAGTGTGGCCTATGGCGTCTGCATGGCCGTGTCTAGCAACCTCAGGTACGCTTGCTGCTGCTGCTGCTGGTGCTGGTGCTGGTGCTGGTGCTGGTGCTGGTGCGTGTGATGGTGGTAGGTGGTTGGATTGAGGCAGTGATTGCTCGGTCATTTCGGGTGCCTCAAAAGGTGTATGGTGTCTACATGGCCGTGTCAAGCAATTTCAGGTACGCTTGCTGCTGGTGGTGGGTGCTGGTGGGTGGTGGTGGTGGTTGTGATGGGTGGTGGGTGGTGGGTGGCGGGGGGTGGTTGTGATGGGTGGTGGGTGGTGGGTGGCGGGGGGTGGTGGTGGTGGTGGTGGTGCCACTGTGTGCTCGATTATTAGAGGTGCCTAGAAAGCCGAGGGGCGTCCACATGGCCATGTCAAGCAAGCAACCTCAGGTAGGACTGGAATGAAGTGTGTGCTTGCTCGGTAAAAAAAAAAAAAAAAAAAAACATTGGTCCGAAGCACATACAGCACGTGTATGACCCTTTGCAGCAGAAGCTACCAGGGCCCTACACACCCCTTGCTCCTCCCTCCCTCTCCCTCCCTCCCTCTCCCTCCCCTGCCTCCCTCCCTCTCCCTCCCTCCCTCCCTCTCCCTCCCCTGCCTCCCTCTCCCTCCCTCCCTCCCTCCGCCCTCCTCTCCCCTCCACTTTTCCCCTGGGCACTGGGCAGATAAGGAGCAGCGCATGCTACCCACACGTTACTCATCTTATGCATCCCTCCCGCATCTTACAGCACAACCAGAATCTACCTGCACCTTAGGCATCCCTCCCTCTCGCTTGCCAATAGATCCCCACGTTGGAGGCATGGCGTAGCATGGCAGCAGCTGTGTTTAGCAAGCTGTTGTTTTAGGCTTACAGCACAACCAGAATCCACCTGCACCTTAGGCATCCCTCCCTCTCGCTTGCCCCTCCCCCTCCCTCCCCTTCTCCCTCGCCCTGTTCCCCCTGTCCTTTCCATCTGCCAGATATCAGATCCTGGCGGGAATAGTGGAGCAGCGCATGCTACAGCCCATGCTGCACAACCAGAAGCTACGAGCGCCTTTCACATCCCTCTCTCACTCTCTTTCCCCTCCCTCTCTCTCGGCCCCTGCCCTCCCCCCCCCCCCCCCCCCCCCCCCCCCCCGCCCCCCCTCTTGCATTGACCAGATATCAGATCCTGGCGGGAATAGTGGAGCAGCGTATGCTAGAGCCCATGCTGCACAACCAGAAGCTGCTGCTCTCCGTGCTGTCATTTGCCGTCCGCACTGGCAACACCTTCCTTGGCTCCCTGCTGTAAGCATTCTCGCTTGTGCTGGCTCTTGCTGACTCTTGAGACTTTTGAGTTGACTCAAAAATCAACCTGCTGTAAGCATTCCTTGCTCGCTCATGCTGACTTTTAAGATGGAACGAAAGTCATTTGCTGTTTGCACCGCCAGCACCTTCCTTGGCTCCCTGCTGCAAGCACCCTGGCTTGTGCTGCTTGCCCCTCCTGTCCCCCTTGCTCCCTCTCTCCCCTTATCATCCGTACAGACCTGCATACATGCACACTTGCTTTCACTCGTGCTCGCACATACAATAACAGAGCCTCTTGTAATCTTGTCGACTATATGCATCTGTATCCATCTACTGCAGGGAATCTAATTTTCCATCCCATGCTCCCCATTGAATGTACTCACAAACATCGATATATCCCTATGTTCCCCCATTCTCTTTCCTTGCTGGCAGATGGGTGGATTACGCGCGATGGGTGGGAGTGCAATCACACGAGTGATTCTCCACCACTTGCTTTTTGTCTTACGATCAGCTTATTCCATCCCTCCATGCATCCATCCCTCGCTTCACCCTAGCTGCCACATAGGAAGTAGCGCTTGGTGCGATTTTCGAGCTGGCTTAAACAAAGTCGTGCTTTGGTGCTAGGTTGCCGCATCCAGAATCCTAGTTGTTGGTATCCTGCTGTTGCTCCTTTCAATGTTCCAATCGATATCCCTTCACTCCTGGTCCTGCTGATATCCTGGTCCTGGGGTTCTCCTGCCTCCGAAAGCCATTATTAACATCTAGACCCTCCCTGCTTGCTTTTGGTCCTAGAAGAATTTTGCAATATGAATGTTTTGTAAGCAAGCTGTTGAAATCACTGTATTTGGCTTCCGGCTTTGTTTACACAAATTTGAAACGGGTAACGCGTCGTTCACCAACGGGTTTGGGATGAAGCTCGTCACCCATCTGAACTCCGTAACGTTGGCATAGACTCGCAACGCCCATGGCCGCCGCCGCCATTTGCGGCCGCGAAGCGCCATTTCTTCTAACTCATTCCAGCGTTTCCCGCGCTTCTTCTACCAGCGCTTGGCCCGCCACTCCGCCTTCCTCCTCCCCCAGTCGCCTTTGCCCCCGTCCATTCTTTCCGCCAGTCCGTCCCCGCGCCCTTTTCTTTTCGAGGTTCCGCGCATCCCTGCCGCCCCCGCCCCCGACTCCGCCTCCACCATCCCTTTCCCGTTCGGGGGCATCGAGATTGCGGCGAGCGGAGGGAGAATATCGCGCGAGAGCGGAAGGGGTGGGCGGAACAGGCGGGGCAGGGGGAGGCGGAATGCTGGGGGGAAAGGAAAAGGGCGCGGGCACATTGTTGGGGGATTCACGCTCACCGCTTTCCCCACCTCAGCTTCTGCAGGTAAAGTGGCGAGTAAGAAGGAAACGGAGAGAGTTCGGGAAAACAGGGAAGCCCGAGGGAAATGGGCAGAAAATGAAGCTTGTGCACAAAACGGGAGGAAACGGGGTGTAACCTCGCTTTCCCCTTCTTCCATCTGCTCCACTCTCACGCCTCCTACTCTTCCCCGCTTCCTTTCTCCCCGTGCCTCTCCCCGCCTCTTCCCCTCACGCCTTCCCCTCGCGCCATCCCCCCCACACTTCCTCTCCCCCGCCTCCCCTCCCCCTCTTCCCCCAGGTGCATGTGTTTTTCCGCCATGGCGCGGGAGTGCCCCTGCCCCACAGCAAGGCGCGCGTGCCTGTGTATCGCCCCTGCTGCTCACCTTCCCACCCGCGCCTCCCCTCCTGCGCCTCCCCCTCCCCCTCTTCCCCTTCCCCCTTCTCCCCCAGGTGCATGTGTTCTTCCGCCATGGCGCCAGAGTGCCCCTTCCCCACAGCAAGGCGCGCGTGCTGGGGAACAGGACAGGCGGGAAAGGGGGAAATGGAGAGGCGAAGGAAACGGGGGAGAGGGCGGGGCAGGGGAAAGGGAAGGGGAGGGGAAACGGGAATGGGTCAAGGGGAAGGAGTGAGGAAAACGGGGAAGGGAAGCAGCAAAGGCCGGGGAAACAGCAGGGATTAGGGGAGGAGACTGTCAATGGGCGGAGGGAGGGCGCAGGGCACGGGACTGGAGGGGAGGAAAACGAAGAGGAGGGGAGTGGAGAGCAGGGGAGAGAGTGGGAGGGGTTTCCGGGGGTGGAGGTATGGGAGGGTAGGGCAGTGAGAGCAGTGGATATGGCAGGGCTACCAGAGAGGAGGCACACGCGGGGTGTGGAGAGCTGGCCTTTCGGACAGCTCACAAAGACAGGTGGGATTGAGTGGGAAGGGTTCCCCGGGGTGGAGGTATGGGAGAGTAGGGGAGTGCGAGTATCTGATATGGTAGGGCTGCCAGAGAGGAGGCATACACGGGGAGTGGAGGGCTGGCCTTTCGGACAGCTCACGCAAACAGGTGAGTGGGAGGGGGGCAGAGAGCAGGGAGGGGAGTGGGGAAGTTTCCCGGGGTGGAGGTATGGGAGAGTAGGGCAGTGAGAGCGGTGGAAATGGCAAGGCTACCAGAGAGGAGGCACACGCGGGGTGTGGAGGGCTGGCCGTTTGGACAGCTCACGCAAACAGGTGAGTGGTTGAGAGCATGGGCGGGTGGGTGGGTGAATCGTTTTTCCTCTCGTCCTCTCCATTCTTTCTCGAATCTGCCTGCCGCATCACACTCACCGAGTCAACTCCCGTTCCTTTCTCGTCCCCGTTCCTTCCCTTTTTCCTGAAGCCTTCCGAGCCTTCCCTTTCTTGGATTGGATCCACTCGTCATTTCGCCGCCTGCTTTAAAACGTTCTCCCCTCCTGCCCCCGCCTCTCCCCCCGACCCTCACCCTTCCCCACCCACCTCGTTCTTCTCTACTTTCAAGACGTCTCAAAAAACGTTCTCCCCTCTTCCCCCCGCCTCTCCCCTCAACCCTCACCCATCCCCACCCCGTTCCTCTCTACTCAGGAGCACGAGAGGCAGAGGAGCTAGGCAGGCGACTCAGGGAGGAGTATGGAGCAGCACTGCTAGAGGGGCTGGTGGGAAGCCGTGAGGGAGAGAGAGGAGACGAAGCAGGAGGAGGAGGAGGAGGAGGAGGAGGAGGAGGAGGAGGAGGAGGAGGAGGAGGAGGAGGAGGAGGAGGAGGAGGAGGAGGAGGAGGAGGAGGAGGAGGAGGAGGAGGAGGGGAAGGAGGAGTGGGGAGTAGGGAGGGAGTAAGAGGAGGAGGGGGACGGGGAGAAGAAATAAATCTTAGGGAGCACCACGACAGAGGGGTGAATGGAGAGGGGAGGAGGGACGGACACACATGGGAAGAGGTGCTGGCATCAGTGATCCGCGTGCGAGCCACCAACTTTCCACGGACCTACCACACAGGTGCTTCCCAGGTGTTTCCCAGGTGCTTGCCAGGTAATTATCAGGTGTTTCCCAGGTGCTTGCCAGGTGATTATCAGGTGTTTCCCAGGTGCTTCCCAGGTGTTTCCCAGGTGCTTCCCAGGTGATTATCAGGTGTTTCCCAGGTGCTTCTTGTGAATAAACTCATAATTTATCAACAAGAATGTTCATAACAACAACAACCACCACCACCACCACCATCACGCCACCCCCCTGCAGCATTCTTCGTGCTGTGCGGGTTGCTGGGGTCGCAGGAGGCGGCAGCTGCAGCGTGTGGGGCGATGGAGATTCGCGAGGACAACCAAGAGACGCTCATCGACTCGGGGCGATGCGCGCGGTAAGAGCGTGGTGAGAATGCAGCTAAGTCTTATTTTTATAGTACAATAAAACATGCACCAGAATAGGTCAGGGCACTCACCTGCTGCTCGCCGTATCATACCCCTCTTGTGTGTGCTCTGTGCATGCGTACAATGTACCCATCTGTCACCGTCAAAACCAACCAATCCCCTCCTGCACCTCTCTCTTCTCTATGCATCCAATTTTTTGCCCTTCTGCCACCACCCCAACCACCCTGCCTATCCCTGGCAGGACCACACAATTGACTCAAATTTCTCAAGTGCCTAAAACTAAAACTTTCCTTCCATTCCGTTTTCGCCCTTCCTACACCACCATTCCACCCTCCCTGTCCCTACCAGCACCACGCAGTTGACTCACTCTGCATGGCGCAGAGTCACTCAGGGCCTTCCGCCCCTGCCGCTGCCCTCCCCTGCTGCTAGGTACCAATGTTGGAGTTGCTTTTGACAATTCTCAAAAGCTTCCCCACCCCATCCACCCTCCCTGTCCGTACCAGCACCACGCAGTGGACTCACTCTGCGTGGCGCAGAGTCACTCAGGGCCTTCCGCCCCTCCCTCTGCCCTCCCCTGCTCCTCTTGCCTCTGCTTCTGCTACTGATGATGTTGCTGCTGCTGCTGGTGCTGCTGTTGCTGCTGCTCCTGAAGCTGGTGGTGGTGCTGCTGCTAGCGTTGCTGCTGCGTTGGACGGCATTCTCCCTCCTGCTTCTACTGCTAATGCTCACACCACTGGTGTTGCTGCCACCGCTGCTGCCACTGCTTCTGCTACTGATGATGTTGCTGCTGCTGCTGCTGCTGCTGCTGCTGCTGCTGCTGCTGCTGCTGCTGCTGCTGCTGCTGCTGCTGCTGCTGCTGCTGCTGCTGCTGCTGCTGCTGCTGCTGCTGCTGCTGCTGCTGCTGCTGCTGTTGCTGCTGCTCCTGAAGCTGGTGGTGGTGCTGCTGCTGGCGTTGCTGCTGCCTTGGACGGCATTCTCCCTCCTGCTTCTACTGCTAATGCTGACACTACTGGTGTTGCTGCCACCGCTGCTGCCACTGCTGCTGCTGACGGTGATAGTGATGCTGGCAGCGGTGGTGGATGGCGCAAGAATCACGTGGTACGTTCCTTCCCACTGCATGCTTTCGTACTCACCTTAACAAGAGCTGTCACTGCATGTCTCTCTACTACTGCACACGTGCAGGAGTCTATGCTGTGTCGACGCACCTTCCACACCATTCTCAACACCATTAAACAAATCTTGAGCACTCCTCCTGCGCCCCGCGTCCCTCCACACACCACCAGCATGCTCGTGAGGCGATGAGAGCCATCCTTGAACTGCCTTCCGGCCCTTTCCCCTGGCCCTGGGTGAGTTGAGGCCATCCTGGAAGTAAGGCCTCCGCAGCCCACCTGCTCCCTTTCCCCTGGCCCTGGGTGAGTTGCCCTGGGCTGCACGTGCGCTTGCTCTCCAGGTGTTGGAATGCCCTTTTTTTTTCCTTTTTTTTTTTCCCCTTTTCTTTGTGGATACATCTGAAGTTTTTTCCTCTGCGCATTCCCGTTGAAGCTTCTCGTCTCTTTTTCCTTTTTCTCTTTTGTTTCTCCATCCAAGTCCGTCAGAGCATCTGTTTCCTCATTCCCCCCTTGCATCCCAGGCCGTGGACTTCTTGCACTGCTGCCATCACCATGGGGACCCCTTACCACCGCACATCACACCTACTCTCATCCACTCCATCCGCTCCCTCATCGCCCAAGACTATGCCACACTCTACTCTGTGAGTCTCTCTCAAAACCTCAATCTCTCTACCCTCAATATCTCAACACTCCATTCTTGAGACGTCTCAAAAGTCCTTCTCTCATCCACTCCATCTGCTCCCTCATCGCCCAAGACTATGCCACTCTCTACTCCGTGAGTACAGGCAGCTTCGCTGTCTCTGCCACTCTCAGATCCTCACTCTCTCTAGCCTCGGCATCTCAATGCTTGATCACTCAAGCCTCCAAGCCTTAAGCCCCTTGTGTTTTATTTCTCTAGAGACGGGACCAGGTACATGTGACAACTTGTGAGGCGCCTCAAAAGTTCTCTAGATAGTTGACTTTTGAGTCGACTCAAAAGTTCACTTTTGAGTTGACTTTTGAGTCGACTGTTGAGTCGACTTTTGAGTCGACTTTTGAGTCGAGTTGACTTTTGAGTCGAGTTGACTTTTGAGTCGACTTTTGAGTCGACTTTTGAGTCGAGTTGACTTTTGAGGCGCCTCAAAAGTTCTCTAGATACGGGTCCAGGTACATGCTTTTTTGAGAATTCTCAAAAAACACGCTCTGCTTTTCATACGTCTCGTCTTTTCTCGAGTCCCCTCAGAAGCCAATGTCAGTCATCTCTCTTTCCCCATTCCCTCCTCTCTCTCTCTCTCTCTCTCTCTCTCTCTCTCTCTCTCTCTCTCTCTCTCTCTCTCTCTCTCTCTCTCTCTCTCTCTCTCTCTCTCTCTCTCCTTTCTCTCCCTTCCTCTCCGTCCTCCCCTGTTCCACGCTTTACCAGTGTGTCCACCCATTTCCGCCTTGCCATGGGCCCTCTCCTGCATGACCGTGCCAAGCGGAGAAGAGAAGCAGCAGAAATTGGTAATAATCGGTTCACTCTTGCTGCATTTTCCCCTCTTTCCCCAACCAGTGCCCACCCATAGCCCGCCTTGCCATGGGTCCTCTCTTGCATGATCTGCACAGCTGCCTCTCTAACTGTATCCACGCTCACTCCTCCTCCTCCTCCTCCTCCTCCTCCTCCTCCTCCTCCTCCTCCTCCTCCTCCTCCTCCTCCTCCTCCTCCTCCTCCTCCTCCTCCTCCTCCTCCTCCTCCTCCTCCTCCTCCTCCTCCTCTCCACCCATCACAACATCTTCTCCCACCCCTCGTCTCTTCCTCTACTCAGCTCACGATGTCACACTCTTGCCTCTTGCCGGTACGTCCTTCCGCCTTCCGTCCGTCCTTCCGTCACAGTCAGCGAGATGGTTGTGTTGTGCCACCGCCGCCATGTCACTCATGACATAAGCTTTCAGATGTCGCAACACGCACACACGCACGCACACACACACACACACACTCTCTCTCTCTCTCTCTCTCTCTCACACACACACACACACACACACAAAAGGCTGCCCTCTCCCGTCGTCCAACTGTCCTCTGCCCTCTGCCCCATCGCCACTCCCTTGTCCCGTCCATTGTTTCATGGAGTTTGTTTCGTTGGTCTAGTACAACACGAGTTGATGGAAGTAAGGCCTTTGCAGCCCACCTGTCCTCTCTTGACAGCTCCTGCCCTCTGCCCTCGCCACTCTCTTGTCCCGTCCCATCCTATCCCATCTCCCAGCGTCGCTCGGCATTTCCTACGTCTCATGGCCGGCCTATACATCATCCATCGCCGTTGAGCTATGGAGCCAGCCCTCTCCCTTAACAACACACACCCCTCCCACTTCCACACCCACACCCCCATCCCCAAACCACCACACGTCTCACACACACACTCCTCCCCAAGTAGACGTTCCGCCCAACCACCCCCCCTCCCTTGAACCTTCCTCCCCCGCTGCTCCCCCTCCTCTTCCTCCTCCTCCTCCTTCTCCTTCCCATCTGCCTCGCGTCTTTGTGCGTGTGCGTCGGGACTTGGAGCCTGTGGATTTGCCAGTGAAGGTCCCAGTGGTGGATGAGGCGGGCTCATGCCTGGAGGGCAGCCGGAGTGGGCTGTTGCATCTGGAAAGACGAGAGCTTGTGTCCGGTGGAGTAGCAGCACAAGCAGCAACAGCAGCAGCAGCAGCAGCAGCTGGTGCTGCCGCTGCTGCTGCCGGTGCATACGGATTGGCAAAGCTCGCAGGAGGCCTGGAAAAGCAGGAGGAAGCACAAATAGGAGGATTGGTGCAGGACGGGGAAGCTGGCAGGCAGGGGAACGAATGGCGAGACGGAGAGGCACACGAGGAGGAAGTGGAGGAGGAGGAAGGCAATGGAGGGGGAGGATTGCTGTGCAGGTGGGAGGACTTCGAGCGCTTGCTGCGGTTTTGAGCTCCTGGGCATGTGCATGACAAGGAGGAGGCTTGAGCTATGCACATCAATCAATACTGATGTTTGGTATGGTCGAAGAATGGGACTTATACCGCATTGCAACAAACTGATGCCCCATCTCATCAGTGTGAGTTGTACTGTATGCAGCTTTTTTCATTCTATCTTATGTGAAACAATTACAAGACTGCATTAGTCTCACACCTTGTAGATGTCAATTACGTTGTTCCTGTACAAATGCTACAGTAACTCCATTTATCTGGAAAATGCATACCTATCAGATAACACTTAGTCGCCACCAGACCAGAACTATGTAGCAGTATCCTGCAATCTCCATTGGTACAAAAACCAAGTCACTTTCACTTTATCCAACCCACCCCAACCGCCCCCCACCCCTCTGCATCTTGTACTGCCAGGTACTCACCTCATCACACTAAGCTCACATAATTACATAACAATCAAGTCTCACGCCTGCACCTCCTGTTCCCCCTCTCCCTTTCCCCTCCTAAGCCCCCTTCCACCCCCTTTAGCTCCTACCTCCCCTGGACAACAGCCCCCACAACCCCACCTCTCCCCTGTCTCTCCCCCCCTCCTCCTCCCCCACTCCCCCCTCTTACCCCCTAAACCCCAACCGTCCGCCCTCTCCCTCTCCCGCCCCAAGCCCCCGACGAGGAGACAGGTTCAATGGAGCTGACGAGGCCGTTGCTGCGCAGGTTGAGGCACACCTCCTCCGCCTCCTGCTGCACCACCCCCGCTGTCACTCCCTGTACTGTCCCCTTCCGCCCCACTCACCTCCCACCTTCCCTGGCCAAAAGCCCCCCCCCTCCCCTCGACTCTCCCCATCTCCTCCCAGCCTCCCCTCCTTCCTCTCTCCCCCACCCCCCCCCACACCCCAACCGTCCGCCCTCTCTTTCTCTAAGCCCCGGACGAGGAGACAGGCTCAATGGAGCTGACAAGGCCGTTGCTGCGCAGGTTGAGGCACACCTCCTCCGCCTCGTGCTGTACGCAGATGAGCACACATGCCATGCCGTTCACATGCGCCTCCTGCATGATGTTCACCGCCTGGTCCACTGTCATGCCCGGCACACACTTCATGAGCACCTGGGTCGGGTCGGGTGTCATCGCATGGCAAAGAGAGCAAACATGGCAAACACGCACAGGAAGAATGTGTGTTTTTGCGGTGGCTCAGAAAGTGACCCCTGCATGATGTTCACTGCCTGGTCCACTGTCATGCCCGGCACGCACTTCATGAGCACCTGGGATGTGTCAGATGGTGCACATGCACGTGAATGTGCACGTACATGCATATGCTCGTGCGCGTGCATCACGAAATTTGAGAATTCTCAAACACACACACACACACACACACACACACATACACACACACACACACACACACACACACACACACACACACGGTTGAAGAAGAAAGCAGTGCACTGAAACGAAACGCAAGGCAGCGCACCACATCCCACCCAGGCACAACTTAGCACGGCGTGGCACAGCACAATGAATCCCAGACCAGCACAACCCAGCGCACGCACACCCGTGTACCCCCCTGCCGCCGCAGCGAACCAACCTGCACCCCAGAGCACCCATGTGCACCCCCGTGCACCGCACCGCACCTGCACGACGTATTCACGACGGTTGAAGTTGTCGTTGTGCAGCATGACACGGTACAGAGGGCTCTTCTTGCGCTGCTTGCTGCACACAGGGGAGGAAGAGGGTGGTTGGTGTTTTGGGGGGGGTTGGGGTGGTGGAGAAATTGCAAGGAGTTGGGTTGAGTTGAGAGAATTGCGGGGTGAGTTTGAGGGACGGCTTAGGGATGAGTAAATGCCACATTGTGCAGCGTTACACGGTACAGAGGGCTCTTCTTGCGCTGCTTGCTGCACACAGGGGAGGAAGAGGGTGGTTGCTGTTGGAAGAGGGGGGGGGGTGGGTGGGTGGGGTGGAGGAAGTGCAAGGAGTTGGGGTGAGTTGGGAGGAATTGCGGGGTAGTTGGCCGGACGACTGAGGAACAAACGAGTGAATGCCACATTGTGCGGCAGCACGTGTTGGAGAGGCTCTATTCTGGAAATAATATTAAGTCGTCTTAAAACGGGTAATTTGTCACGCTGTGCAGCAGGGCGTGGCGGAATTGACTCTTCTCTTCTTCCGCCACTTGCTGTGCACTTATGAGTTTGGAGAGGGCGGGAGCGGAAATATGTTTCGGAGGTGATTTTTTGTCAAATTGAAAGGGGACTCTTTCCTTTGTTGCTTGCTGTGCGCGGAAGAGTTGGGGGAGAGAAGGAGCGAATTGGGCTTTGGGGGCGTTTCAAAAAGTCAGGAATCAGGAGAGCGATGAAAGCGGAAAGAGGATAGAGGTCAGGGGATGGTGGCATCGGGTTGGGGAGGAGTGGATAGGAGGATGCGGGAATGCGGGGGGGAGGAGGGGGGGGATTTGCGGGAAAGCGGGGGAAGGGGGTTGCGGGAATGCGAGGAGGGGGTTGCGGCAAGTGAAGCGGAGAGGGGACGAAGGGGGAGTGGGGTAGGCTTACCATTCAAGGCGAGGAAAGAGAATGGACTGGGAGTGTTGCTTATGGCATAAGTGCCTTGGCTTATGAGACAGGACTGGGTAGGAAGGTAGGACAAGAGAACATTACGAGCGCCTGTTCTCTGTGATTGAAACGACTGATAGATAGTTACTGTTGCTGTAGGACGAAAAAGCCTGTGCACGCATATTCGGCTCCGCCTGCCTCAACCGCCCCTCCAGAAGCTGCTGGTAATTTCCAGACGTCTCAGAGCTCAAAGGACGAGTTCTGGTGCGCGCAAATCCGGCTCCGCCTGTCCAGACCAGACCTTCCCCCTAGGCACTGCTCATAGACGTGGTGATTGGCTTAACTCCTCGTCTCGCTATGTGAGTGTAATGAGGCGTTTTTTTCAGGCGCTCAAAAATCGCCTCAATGCACGCCTGTCCTGTCCAGACCTTTCCCCCAGGTGCTGTTGATGAAATGGTGGTTGGCTTAACCCGTCGTCTCGCCCTGTAAGTGCGACCGACCCATGTCACGCTTCTCAACGCGACTTATGTACTTTTCAGTACTTGAAGAGTGGATTATGCTGAGACCTAATCAGGTCCCAGGCGCATCTGGGCAAGCCTCTGCTTCCGGGTGTCTCAGCGTAATCTGAACGCGCAGCGAGTGCGGTGAATGTAGCTTATCCTCTCGGAAACTCGATTTCGCACCATCAGCATGAACTGGTAAACGTCATCCCGCATCCATCTGCAACCAGACTCCCGTCCCGAAAGCACGAGTACGAATTGTATCGGCTCAAGCAAGCAACCAAGCATAGTAGTAACTCACGTGAGATCGAATTCCGATTCGCGTCCAGGAGTCGGAGCTACAACGGGCTTGTCAAGCAGCCCGCCGCCGCTGTCCTTAGCAGCGCGCACCGCGCGTACAGGGGAAGATTGCGCGGAAGACGCCTCCGCGGACGACGCTCGCGCGGAAGAGATGGTGTGGAGACGCGCAGTGGTCGCAGCGATTCGGCAGATAAACGCGGAGGGGGGTGCCGGGAAGCTAGCGTTGGCGCAAATGGCGGTGCGCAGTTGGCATGAAGCTACAACGGCTCGAGACGCCATATTACAAAGAACTTAGGAACAAATGGATGGAATGGGGCCGGGGGTAGGAAAGGCGGAAAGACGACTTGATTGTAAGAGAGGCGATCGTGAAGGCTCAAAAGCGCGTCTTCAATGAGAGTAAAGAATGAGGTAGCACAAAAGCTACCACGAAAGCTTTGGGTGCGCGACACGGCCCCTCCCAAGCAAAGTCGTAAATTCGTGAATTGCTGACTGATGGTTTGAACGAACATATGTTGCTCCCTCGAGTGTGCTGGGAGCATCTGGAAGGATGGAACAGTAGAGGGGTGTGTGGTGTGGAAAACAATGTCCGCGCTAAAGGTAAACCCACTACTGGAACCTAGCCCTGACATTCGTCTTCTGTACAATGCCTAAAGTACGGGAAACGTGACGTGGCCCCTCGGGAACGCGCCAGCACAGCTTTTCTCGAATCTCGATGATGTGAAACGGGACAAAAGGTCGTGTTTCTGGAAATACGAATGTGGAGCAGCAGAGAACTGAAGTTCCAAACTGGGGTGTTCGTTGCTCGTGTTTCGACAATTTGTGTCAATCCGCTACTGTGTGGTTGCAACCCCGTTCTGTACACACAACCTTGAAAATGGGATTCGCACTTTGCTGCGGAGCGATGGGGCTGCGACCCTGTGACCGCCTCTTGGCACGATATTGGCCCTGAAGGAACATGATGTATTGCGCGCCAAGCTCTGAGTGTGTTGTGTTGAGCGGTGGAGATGTTGACGGCATCCTGCTTAGCTGACCGACTAACTGCCGGTTGCTTCCCTTAAAAGCTCGCCACGAACCGAACTGCACCAACGCAGTGCCCCATGAAAACCGGATCCAAACAGAAGCCACAACTGCAGGGAACTTGTAAAGGCCGCGCGTAGCCTGGTTTCTCATAGGTCGACAAAAGATTTCTTCTTCAGAGTTAGCGGCTCCTGCTGTTTCAAGCACCTGTAAAGACCAGCTGGTGACGAAAGTTCACGGGCTGCCACATGTTATTTTTGTTCCGAAGCTCGTGAGCCAGGAATGAGATCCTCTTGAATGAAAGTGCGCGTGATCGAGATCTGGAAAGTAGACGATGCTTCTCCACATGGCTGGAGCTTGCCAAGCTCAAGAACCTCATTGGTTTCTGATTCTTTGCGAACTGGACGACCCGATGTCACTGCGTCCACATATCTCGAACAGCACTGCTAGTCCACGACGTTTCTTGAATAATTTGAGGGTGGAGACTGAATACAGTAACACGGGCTACCTACTCCAAAAGGCTGGGCTTGTGCTGTTATGTAGACGCAACATGATACATTTAGCACTTCCATCACTGACCAGAAATCGCTACTTCTCCTCAGAAACTCCACTGACTGTGAGGCTGCTGCTCCGCGAATCCGACAATGCTGCTGCTCCGAGGGGGATCCACTTCTTTGCTGCCCAAAATCCTTTTCGTGGCTAGAATCAACCCATATTTTGAAACCAATCCAAATGACGGTCACAAACCCTCAACAATCTTCAGTCTCCCACTGACCCACACCTTTCCTTTCTCTGCCCCCTTCACCCCACCACCACCACTCCTTACGAATCGCGTATCTCTCTGAACTCGAGTGGAGGGAGGGAATCACAAGAGCGAACACTCCAGAATCAGTCACAGTGAAGCTATGGTTGGAATGCAGTGGGATGCAATGGAACTCACATCGCTGGTTGGTCGCATCGCATCGTCGTCTCACTCCACTCGTCCTCCCACTTCCCTCCTCCACCATTCCACACCATCCATCTCTCTCCCTCTCCCTCTCTCAACCTCCTCCCTGCCTCTCCGTGTTCCCAGTCTTTCCAGAGCTTTCTTTGCAATGGCCCCGCTGCATGGCGCCATCTCCTCCCCCGTGCACCCGTACCGTTGCTTATTCTCGCTTCTTGCACAACAATCAGTAGAACATTCTCAATCAGTAGAACATTCTTGGTCATTGATCCGACCCTCCATAGCCAGTACTCACATAGAAGTAATACCCACGTGTTTTGTTCAGCCCATTATGGAGCCTCAAGCAAGCCCATAATCGCCGAACTTTAACTCCCGAACCTCAATTTTCGGCCTTCGCCTCCGTTGCCGCAAATCCTTGATTAGAAACTGCAGACGACGGCATTCTTGTAGGCCGTTGGCGCAGGATTCCTGGCAGCACCCCTCGGGTAACTCTGACTCCGTATGAACTTCCGGGTTTTCGCAAGTCCGGTTGAGCGTACCTGACGACTCGTTTCAGTCACCGTAAAAATATTTCCGCCGTTACCGTTACCGTCAGCGTTCCCATCGTTAACGTTACCACTGGTAATCGCGGCCCGGTGTGTCGACAGCGATAGCTATCAGCCGAGTCGGCTCGGCTGACGAAGAAGCTGAGAAGCTGAGCTCTCGAGGTCGCGAGCTTGCGGGCAATGGCGGGTTTCCGCTTAAAAGAGCAAGAAGAAGCAGAGCGCGTGTGTTTGCGCGCGTGAAAGACGGCACGTTCGAGAAGCGCGTCTTGAGTAGCGAGACTCCCTGGTTCGACTCTCAGGTGACTGACGAACTGAAACGCGGCGCCTTTGTGGTGCGCCGCTTGCGTACCAAGCGTTGACCGCTCTCAAACAGCTTGTTTCTGATTGTGTGCTTACGACATCCTAGCGTCAACCGTTCTTGCCGTAACACAAGGACGACACCTGCTGTCTCCGCCGCAGTTTCAGCCGCTGCTTTCCGCCAATAATTCTGGTCGCGAGAGCGGAGAGAGGAGCGAGGAGGAGCGCGGGGCACGGATGGTGGGGCGCGGCGGAGGTGGGGGGGGAGGGGAGATGGAGCGGGGGGACACCGGGGGAAGGGACGGGCGGAACAGAGTGTGGGACGGGCTCGGGCTCGGCATGCGGTGCTGGGGGGGAGAGAGCGCACTTGCGCTGGCGGGGGAAGGGTGGGGGGAGGAAAGCGCGCGGAGGGGAAGGGGGAAAGAACAGGAGCGGATGATGGTGTTGGGGGAAGGTGACGGGCGGGAGGTGGGGGAGAGAGTAGGCGGAGAGGCGGAGAAATGGGTCGATGAAATGCGGCAGTCAAGGGAACGGCACTCGGGAGAAAGGGAAACAGGAGGAACGAACGAAAGGGCGTTACGAGGCGGCAAGACGGTGGGGAAGGAGAGACTCTTGACAGGAGAAGAAAGAACGGGCAGTCGTAGCGGCAGCGGCAGCGGCAGCGGTAGCGGTAGCGGTAACCGAAACGGTAGAGGTACCCGCACCGGCAGTGGCAGGAGAAAACAGAAAGGCCAGAGAGAGCAACCACAGCGACCACAATCCCCGGAGCAGTTGGGAGAGTTAAGGGAGAAGGGAGAGACTGGGGTGCGAGCAATTGAGTTGGGGGAATTGAGGCAAGCGCGGGAAGCGGACATGGAACAGGCGGATTCGCTTCAGTTGACGCTGCGAAGCCCCGGGATGGTCGCGCCTGGCGCTCACGGTCTGACCAAGTCGTCCAAGTCAAGGGAAGTCAACGCGGGGAAAGACGCCGGAGACGGCGGCAGCAGGCGCAGCAGAAGCAGCCGGAACAGCAGGTCGGACGAGCAGCAGCAGCAGCAGCAGCAGAGTCTGGTTCAGGGAGTGCCTGGCGGGCACGCGAATGTTAGTAACATGTTAGTAAGGCTTTGCGAACCTAGCGGCACGCGAGGGACATTTGCAGGCTCGTGCCACAGTAGCGGCGGAGAGTTGACCCTGGCAACTAGAAGCACACAGCTTGGGGTGGGAAATGCGACTGGAGATGCAGCAGCAGCGGCAGGGGCGGTTGCCGGGACAGAAGGGGCAGCAGGGGGAGGAGCAGGAGCAGCAGCAGCAGCAGCAGCAGCAGCAGCAGCAGCAGCAGCAGCAGCAGCATCAGCAGCAGGAGCTGCAGCAGCTGTCAGGGACTCGTTCTCTGGTGCAGTCAGTGCGGTGATGTCACAAGACGCTTCGGTGCAGAGGTGTTCAGTCGACGCTCGTGAGGTGCAGGGCATGGGGTTGTGGGGAGACGGTGAGGAGAGGTGGAGCAGGTTGGGGAGAGGGACGATAGGAGAGGAAACGCACGGCGCGTCTTTTAATGGGCGTATGAAAGAGGTGCACGGAGGGACACTTTCTCTAAGATGGAGGGGAGAGGAGGAGCCGGAGGAGTTGAGAGATGAGGGGGAGAGAGAGGAGGGGGAGAGAGAGGAGGGGGAGAGAGAGGAGGGGGAGGGAGAGGGAGAGGGAGAGGGAGAGGAGGGAGAGAGGGGAGAGGGCATGGAGGTAGATGGGTTTGGGACTCAAGTCGAGGGGGGTCCCTCCTGTGCTTTGGTGAGTTGCTTTTGAGATACTGGTGTTCTTAACACGCCTTGATTCGACTGAGAGACTATCGCTAAGTCTCTCTTCCTCCGCTCTCCCTCTCTCTTCCGCTCACCATCACCCCGTCTCCCCCCCCCCCCCCCCCCCCCCCCCCCCCCTCTTTCCCCAACACAGACGCTACTAGCAGAAGCACTACAGCAGAATTCGTGTGGGTGGGGAGGGGCGAGCACAAGCGATGGTCGAGGAGCAAGCAGTCACTCTGCCACGCCTGCTGCCGCTGCTGCCGTCGCCGCCGCCGCTGCTGCTGCTGCCGCTGCTGTTGGCGGTGATGGTGCCTTTGATGCTGTAGATGATGCTGGTGGTGGTGGTGGTGTTGATGTTGGTAGCGGCAGTGGTGCGAATACGCATTGTGGTCGTGGTGATGGTGGTAGCGGCGGTAGCAGTGGCAGCGGTGGTGCTGGCGGTACTGCCAGTGCTGGTGGTGTGAGAGGAGGAAGAGGAGGAGATGGGGGAGGGCGGAGGGAGAAAGGAGGTGTGGACGAGCTAGGGAGTTCATCTGGCAGCAATAGCCCTCGGGAGCAAGCAGAACGAGGTTCAAGATACCGAGAGGAGGAGGAGGTTCAGGAGGAAGGGGAGGTAGAGGAGGAGAGGGGGGAGGAGGCGGGCGAGGAGGATGAGGAGGAGGAGGGGAGGGAGCGGGGGCGAGGGGAGGAGGAGGGAGGGGAGGGGCAGCTGGAAGAATGTGAGAAGCATGGTAGTGGGAAGCATGTGGATAAGAAACGACATGTGGGGGAGTTTATGGGAGTGCAGGAAGGTGGCGAATGGGGGGATTATGCGGGAGGAGTGGGTGTGCACGGAGGGGAGGAGGGTGGGGAGGTGGAGAGGGAGGATCATATGCAAGAAGATGGAAACGAGTGCTGCGCGCCTGATGATCAGCGTGGGAAGCTTGGGAAAAAGCACCAGGAGCAGCGCCAGCAGCAGCAACAGCAACACCAGCCGCAGCACTACCAGCAGCAGCAGCACCACCACCAAAACCGGCAGCAGCATCAGCACGGCCAGCAACAGCAGCAGCTGCGCCAGCACCAGCACCAGCAGCAACGCCACCAGCAACAACAGCAGCACCAGCAGCAGCAGCAGCAACGCGAGCAGCAAGAGCAGCAGAAGGAGGATGAGCAACAACAAGAGCAGGAGGAGGAGGCCCTCCAGCACAAGGACCAAAACCCAGGGCCATGTGAGGAGGGAAAGCAGCAGCAGCAGCAGCAGCAGCAGCAGCAGCAGCAGCAGCAGCAGCAGCAGCAGCAGCAGCAGCCGCAGCAGCAGGCAAGCAGCAGCAAGGGAGTGTGCAGCTTGGAGCAAGTATCAGCTCTCTTCACAAGCGCACCCGACCCGCAACTCCCGTGCCCGCGCTGCAACAGCAGCAACACCAAGTTCTGCTATTTCAACAACCGCAACCCGAACCAGCCAAGGCATTTCTGCCGCGGCTGCCAGCGTTACTGGACTGCTGGAGGCGTCATTCGGCACGTGCCTGTTGGCTCGGGCCGGCGGAAAAGCAGGCAGCAGCAGCAACAGCAGCAGCAGCAGAATCAGGTACCAGTGACAGCAGCAGCAGCAGCAGCAGCAGCAGCAGCAGCAGCAGCAGCCCCAGTGGCAGGAGCAGCACCAGCAGCACCAGCAGCAGGAGCAGGAGCAGGGGAAGTAGCAGCAGTGGATATAGCAGAGCTTCATGCGCTCACTGCTGCTGCAGCCGCCGCCGCTGCTGCTGCTGCTGCCATGTCCTCTGGGAGAGTGCATCCAGGAGGGGAAGCAGCTCACGCGGCGGCGGCTGCTGCTGCCATGGCAGCAATTCGAGCCCTCCCTCCCCCTCCTACTCCTGTTACAGGGGCCGGGAATGCCCGGGCTGTGGCAGAAGCTGTGGTGGAGGCAGCAGCAGAAGCAGCAGCGGCAGCAACGGCAGAGATGGCAGCAGCATCAGCAGCGGCAGCCGCAGCTGCAGCAGCAAGTGCGAAGGCGCCTAATGCTGCTGCCGCTGCTGCTCCTCCTCCTTCTGCTGCTGCCGCAGCTGCAGCAGCAGCAGCACTGGGTGCAGCAGGCATGGCCGCCCCTGGGAAACCCACAGCGTTACCTGCGTCTGCTGCTGCTACTGCTGCTGGTGCTGCTGCTCCTGCAGCTGCCCCTGCTGCTGTTTTCCCTGCTGGTGTTTCCGCTGCAGCTGCTGCTGCTGCAATGGCAGCAGCGGCCGCAGCTGCTGCATCTGCACCCGCTGCTGCTACAACCCCTGCTGCTGCAGGCCTCTTGGCCTGGAACCCTCTGCTTCCCTCTCTGCCCCCTCAAATACAAACCCCATTTGCGCAACACTACCTAGGTTTTCCGTTCCTCTCCCCACTACACACCTTCTCCAGTGTAGAATTAGCAGCAGCTGCTGCAGCAGCGGGAGCGGGAGCGGGAGCGGGAGCAGGAGCGGGAGCAGGGGCAGCAGCAGGAGCTGGAGCAGGAGCAGGAGCAGGAACTGGATTTGGGCTGGGAGAAACAAGCAGCAGTGCTTCAAGCCATGCAAACACAGCCCTTTCTCGCGTATCCGAGCACGGACACGGCTCTCTTGCGTTCCCTCATCCTTCCTCTGCTTTCTTAACAGCGGGCCTTCCCAGTCCCAGCAGTATCCAGCAGGCCCTTGGCAATTTCTTCTGTGGTGCCACTGCCACTGCTGCTCCTTCCACCGCCACTGCCGCTGCCATGCCTGGTGCTGCAGCTGCTGCTGCTGCTGCTGCTTACGCACTTGGTGCTCACTCACTTTCTGCCTCTGCCCTTTCAAATACAGCTGCTAGAGACTCCTCTTTCTGGGCTGCCAGCAATGGCCAGGCACACACACATGCACAAGCACAAGCGCACGCACACGCTTCTTATCTCTCGTCCTTCCTTCCAGGTGCGTTCTCACTTCAGCTGCCACAGCAGCAGACTCTTGAAGCGCCTCAGAAGTTCCCGTTTCAGTTGTCGCAGCAGCAGATGTTCCATCAGCAGCAGCAGCAGCAGCAACAACAGCAGCAGTATTACTCATGATCGCATGTTTGATTTTTGGTTTCTTCTCCTTTCCTTGAAGCTGCCAGCCCTGTCGATTCCAGCAGCAGCAGCAGAATTTTGAAGCAGTGTGTCTGCGCAAGCAGACGCATGGGTGGTTGCAGCTACCATACTTTCCACCCAACACTTGTCAATGCTTCTGCAGTCAGTCATGTAACTTGTACCACTCACTCTATGGTTTGATTTTCAAGTTAAGCCTGAAATTGCTGTACTCGGTCTATGGTTCTGGCACGGTCTCCTTCCACTGTAGCTGCATAACCCACACCTCACCACCAACCTCTGGAGGGGGTTTCTCTCTGTTACGGTATTTTCGTGGAGCTTTCTGTTTGGTCTGGTGAATAATTCTGCCCATGCATGCTCCGCCATTAAATTGGCTTTGGAGCACTGCGAAAATTAGGTACCTACCTTGCGAAAAAAGCCATGCCATTTCATTATGAGCTACACTTGACAGGTCTGTAGTTGCATGCTTGAATTCTGAAAATCACTGTATCAAAGCCACGTAGGTGGGTGCTGTCCCAACCAACAAGGCTTACTGCACTGCGCTTCTGCCAACCTAGGAGGGTGCCTAGCCTATCCTCTTACACGGCATGTGGAATCTTTATTTGTGTTGAGCTGAGCCGACCCGAGCTGAGAAGTGTCAGTCAGACGACAACAAGGCTGGTGGTGGATAAGCAAGGCAACCTGTCGCACCACCTAGTAGTACTTTCGTGAACCATGTTTCGACAATGCATGCATGCAAGGCTGGTGTATGGTATCAGAGCTCATCCTTGATCTCAAACTCCTGGTGTGTGTGTGGTGGGCAGGCAAACACCAACAGAACATGAACAGACAGTCGAGGAGGCGGATACAGGTGGGAATGCTTTGTAGAAGCGTGTAATAGGAGAATTGCATCCACGCATGCCGAATGCCATGCCAGCGTTGGACTTGAGACTAATCAACAGTGCGCTCACCTTGAGGATGGAGAGGCGGTGGTGGAACTGCGAGTGCTTGGATGCTGGCAGGCTGGCTGATGACACCAGGCCCTTGAGCCGCGCTACCTCCTGATGGCGGCAGGGGCATGGAAAAGGGCACAGGCACGGGCACAGGGGGGAAGAGATGGGCAAGGGCACAGGGAGTGTCTGTGCTGCAGGCAGGCTGGTTGATGACATCGGGCCCTTGAGCCATGCTGCCTCCTGGTGGGGGCAGTGGCATTGGAGGGGCAGGCAGGGGCATGGGCATTGGAGGGGCAGGCAGGGGCATGGGCATTGGAGGGGCAGGCAGGGGCATGGGCATTGGAGGGGCAGGCAGGGGCATGGGCATTGGAGGGGCAGGCAGGGGCATGGGCATTGGAGGGGCAGGCAGGGGCATGGGCATTGGAGGGGCAGGCAGGGGCATGGGCATTGGAGGGGCAGGCAGGGGCATGGGCATTGGAGGGGCAGGCAGGGGCATGGGCATTGGAGGGGCAGGCAGGGGCATGGGCATTGGAGGGGCAGGCAGGGGCATGGGCATTGGAGGGGCAGGCAGGGGCATGGGCATTGGAGGGGCAGGCAGGGGCATGGGCATTGGAGGGGCAGGCAGGGGCATGGGCATTGGAGGGGCAGGCAGGGGCATGGGCATTGGAGGGGCAGGCAGGGGCATGGGCATTGGAGGGGCAGGCAGGGGCATGGGCATTGGAGGGGCAGGCAGGGGCATGGGCATTGGAGGGGCAGGCAGGGGCATGGGCATTGGAGGGGCAGGCAGGGGCATGGGCATTGAGGGGCAGGCAGGGCATGGGCATTGGAGGGCAGGCAGGGGCATGGGCATTGGAGGGGCAGGCAGGGGCATGGGCATTGGAGGGGCAGGCAGGGCATGGGCATTGGAGGGGCAGGCAGGGGCATGGGCATTGGAGGGGCAGGCAGGGGCATGGGCATTGGAGGGGCAGGCAGGGGCATGGGCATTGGAGGGGCAGGCAGGGGCATGGGCATTGGAGGGGCAGGCAGGGGCATGGGCATTGGAGGGGCAGGCAGGGGCATGGGCATTGGAGGGGCAGGCAGGGGCATGGGCATTGGAGGGGCAGGCAGGGGCATGGGCATTGGAGGGGCAGGCAGGGGCATGGGCATTGGAGGGGCAGGCAGGGGCATGGGCATTGGAGGGCAGGCAGGGGCATGGGCATTGGAGGGGCAGGCAGGGGCATGGGCATTGGAGGGGCAGGCAGGGGCATGGGCATTGGAGGGGCAGGCAGGGGCATGGGCATTGGAGGGGCAGGCAGGGGCATGGGCATTGGAGGGGCAGGCAGGGGCATGGGCATTGGAGGGGCAGGCAGGGGCATGGGCATTGGAGGGGCAGGCAGGGGCATGGGCATTGGAGGGGCAGGCAGGGGCATGGGCATTGGAGGGGCAGGCAGGGGCATGGGCATTGGAGGGGCAGGCAGGGGCATGGGCATTGGAGGGGCAGGCAGGGGCATGGGCATTGGAGGGGCAGGCAGGGGCATGGGCATTGGAGGGGCAGGCAGGGGCATGGGCATTGGAGGGGCAGGCAGGGGCATGGGCATTGGAGGGGCAGGCAGGGGCATGGGCATTGGAGGGGCAGGCAGGGGCATGGGCATTGGAGGGGCAGGCAGGGGCATGGGCATTGGAGGGGCAGGCAGGGGCATGGGCATTGGAGGGGCAGGCAGGGGCATGGCATTGGAGGGGCAGGCAGGGGCATGGGCATTGGAGGGGCAGGCAGGGGCATGGGCATTGGAGGGGCAGGCAGGGGCATGGGCATTGGAGGGGCAGGCAGGGGCATGGGCATTGGAGGGGCAGGCAGGGGCATGGGCATTGGAGGGGCAGGCAGGGGCATGGGCATTGGAGGGGCAGGCAGGGGCATGGGCATTGGAGGGGCAGGCAGGGGCATGGGCATTGGAGGGGCAGGCAGGGGCATGGGCATTGGAGGGGCAGGCAGGGGCATGGGCATTGGAGGGGCAGGCAGGGGCATGGGCATTGGAGGGGCAGGCAGGGGCATGGGCATTGGAGGGGCAGGCAGGGGCATGGGCATTGGAGGGGCAGGCAGGGGCATGGGCATTGGAGGGGCAGGCAGGGGCATGGGCATTGGAGGGGCAGGCAGGGGCATGGGCATTGGAGGGGCAGGCAGGGGCATGGGCATTGGAGGGGCAGGCAGGGGCATGGGCATTGGAGGGGCAGGCAGGGGCATGGGCATTGGAGGGGCAGGCAGGGGCATGGGCATTGGAGGGGCAGGCAGGGGCATGGCATTGGAGGGGCAGGCAGGGGCATGGGCATTGGAGGGGCAGGCAGGGGCATGGGCATTGGAGGGGCAGGCAGGGGCATGGGCATTGGAGGGGCAGGCAGGGGCATGGGCATTGGAGGGGCAGGCAGGGGCATGGGCATTGGAGGGGCAGGCAGGGGCATGGGCATTGGAGGGGCAGGCAGGGGCATGGGCATTGGAGGGGCAGGCAGGGGCATGGGCATTGGAGGGGCAGGCAGGGGCATGGGCATTGGAGGGGCAGGCAGGGGCATGGGCATTGGAGGGGCAGGCAGGGGCATGGGCATTGGAGGGGCAGGCAGGGGCATGGGCATTGGAGGGGCAGGCAGGGGCATGGGCATTGGAGGGGCAGGCAGGGGCATGGGCATTGGAGGGGCAGGCAGGGGCATGGGCATTGGAGGGGCAGGCAGGGGCATGGGCATTGGAGGGGCAGGCAGGGGCATGGGCATTGGAGGGGCAGGCAGGGGCATGGGCATTGGAGGGGCAGGCAGGGGCATGGGCATTGGAGGGGCAGGCAGGGGCATGGGCATTGGAGGGGCAGGCAGGGGCATGGGCATTGGAGGGGCAGGCAGGGGCATGGGCATTGGAGGGGCAGGCAGGGGCATGGGCATTGGAGGGGCAGGCAGGGGCAATGGGCATTGGAGGGGCAGGCAGGGGCATGGGCATTGGAGGGGCAGGCAGGGGCATGGGCATTGGAGGGGCAGGCAGGGGCATGGGCATTGGAGGGGCAGGCAGGGGCATGGGCATTGGAGGGGCAGGCAGGGGCATGGGCATTGGAGGGGCAGGCAGGGGCATGGGCATTGGAGGGGCAGGCAGGGGCATGGGCATTGGAGGGGCAGGCAGGGGCATGGGCATTGGAGGGGCAGGCAGGGGCATGGGCATTGGAGGGGCAGGCAGGGGCATGGGCATTGGAGGGGCAGGCAGGGGCATGGGCATTGGAGGGGCAGGCAGGGGCATGGGCATTGGAGGGGCAGGCAGGGGCATGGGCATTGGAGGGGCAGGCAGGGGCATGGGCATTGGAGGGGCAGGCAGGGGCATGGGCATTGGAGGGGCAGGCAGGGGCATGGGCATTGGAGGGGCAGGCAGGGGCATGGGCATTGGAGGGGCAGGCAGGGGCATGGGCATTGGAGGGGCAGGCAGGGGCATGGGCATTGGAGGGGCAGGCAGGGGCATGGGCATTGGAGGGGCAGGCAGGGGCATGGGCATTGGAGGGGCAGGCAGGGGCATGGGCATTGGAGGGGCAGGCAGGGGCATGGGCATTGGAGGGGCAGGCAGGGGCATGGGCATTGGAGGGGCAGGCAGGGGCATGGGCATTGGAGGGGCAGGCAGGGGCATGGGCATTGGAGGGGCAGGCAGGGGCATGGGCATTGAGGGGCAGGCAGGGGCATGGGCATTGGAGGGGCAGGCAGGGGCATGGGCATTGGAGGGGCAGGCAGGGGCATGGGCATTGGAGGGGCAGGCAGGGGCATGGGCATTGGAGGGGCAGGCAGGGGCATGGGCATTGGAGGGGCAGGCAGGGGCATGGGCATTGGAGGGGCAGGCAGGGGCATGGGCATTGGAGGGGCAGGCAGGGGCATGGGCATTGGAGGGGCAGGCAGGGGCATGGGCATTGGAGGGGCAGGCAGGGGCATGGGCATTGGAGGGGCAGGCAGGGGCATGGGCATTGGAGGGGCAGGCAGGGGCATGGGCATTGGAGGGGCAGGCAGGGGCATGGGCATTGGAGGGGCAGGCAGGGGCATGGGCATTGGAGGGGCAGGCAGGGCATGGGCATTGGAGGGCAGGCAGGGCATGGGCATTGGAGGGGCAGGCAGGGGCATGGGCATTGGAGGGGCAGGCAGGGGCATGGGCATTGGAGGGGCAGGCAGGGGCATGGGCATTGGAGGGGCAGGCAGGGGCATGGGCATTGGAGGGGCAGGCAGGGGCATGGGCATTGGAGGGGCAGGCAGGGGCATGGGCATTGGAGGGGCAGGCAGGGGCATGGGCATTGGAGGGGCAGGCAGGGGCATGGGCATTGGAGGGGCAGGCAGGGGCATGGGCATTGGAGGGGCAGGCAGGGGCATGGGCATTGGAGGGGCAGGCAGGGGCATGGGCATTGGAGGGGCAGGCAGGGGCATGGGCATTGGAGGGGCAGGCAGGGGCATGGGCATTGGAGGGGCAGGCAGGGCATGGGCATTGGAGGGGCAGGCAGGGGCATGGGCATTGGAGGGGCAGGCAGGGGCATGGGCATTGGAGGGGCAGGCAGGGGCATGGGCATTGGAGGGGCAGGCAGGGGCATGGGCATTGGAGGGGCAGGCAGGGGCATGGGCATTGGAGGGGCAGGCAGGGGCATGGGCATTGGAGGGGCAGGCAGGGGCATGGGCATTGGAGGGGCAGGCAGGGGCATGGGCATTGGAGGGGCAGGCAGGGGCATGGGCATTGGAGGGGCAGGCAGGGGCATGGGCATTGGAGGGGCAGGCAGGGGCATGGGCATTGGAGGGGCAGGCAGGGGCATGGGCATTGGAGGGGCAGGCAGGGGCATGGGCATTGGAGGGGCAGGCAGGGGCATGGGCATTGGAGGGGCAGGCAGGGGCATGGGCATTGGAGGGGCAGGCAGGGGCATGGGCATTGGAGGGGCAGGCAGGGGCATGGGCATTGGAGGGGCAGGCAGGGGCATGGGCATTGGAGGGGCAGGCAGGGGCATGGGCATTGGAGGGGCAGGCAGGGGCATGGGCATTGGAGGGGCAGGCAGGGGCATGGGCATTGGAGGGGCAGGCAGGGGCATGGGCATTGGAGGGGCAGGCAGGGGCATGGGCATTGGAGGGGCAGGCAGGGGCATGGGCATTGGAGGGGCAGGCAGGGGCATGGGCATTGGAGGGGCAGGCAGGGGCATGGGCATTGGAGGGGCAGGCAGGGGCATGGGCATTGGAGGGGCAGGCAGGGGCATGGGCATTGGAGGGGCAGGCAGGGGCATGGGCATTGGAGGGGCAGGCAGGGGCATGGGCATTGGAGGGGCAGGCAGGGGCATGGGCATTGGAGGGAGGCGGTGGACAAGGGCTCAGGGAGTGTCTGTTGCGGATGGGGATGAAGGATGGGGAAAATGGTGGGGATAATGGAATGAGGATCCGGAACGTGGGGAGTGGAGAGGAAGGGACGGAAGCAGGTGATTTCCCTTGCCTGAGCGACTTCTGAGGGGCCTCAAAACTCGTCTCTTAACCCGCAAGCGACGGAAGCAGGCGGTGGTGGTGGTGGTGGTGGTGGTACCCCTTGGGGGCCCTTGACAATCCGTCCTCACCTTGGCAACGCAACCTTGGCCCTCGCCCCTCTGAATGAATGCTGCCTTTGGAGGGGGGGCGAAGTCGTCGTAACCTCAAACGAAGTTGTAACCTCAAACGAAGTTGTAACCTCAAACGAAGTTGTAACCTCAAACGAAGTTGTAACCTCAAAAGTACCCCTTGGGCCCCTCTCAATGCCTTTGGAGGGCGAGGGCCCTTGACAATCCGTCCGTCCTCCTCACCTTTGCAATGTACTCTTCGCCCCTCTCAATGACTGCTGCCATGACCTTGAGGTAATACTCTCCGCTCCTGCATGATCACCCGGGGGGGGGGGGGGGGGGGGGGGGAGAGGATGAGGAGAGTGCATATTGAGACATCTCAAAAGTCTTCGCCCCTCTCAATGACTGCTGCCCTGACCTTGAGGTAATAATCTCCGCTCCTGTGCAGCCACCAGAGGAAGAGGACGGGGGGAGGAGGAAGAAGGAAGTGGATTGTTTTAGACTACTCAGCTACTTTTCTGTTTCTGAGTGGATATTACTACTCAGGAATATCTGCCCCTCTCAACCAATGACTGCTGCTATGGCGTTGCGCTCCTGCACAAGCACCAGGTTGAGAGCTGGGGTCACGTGTAAAAAGAGTAGTTTTGAGATGTCTCAAAGCTCCTGCCTGCACAAGCACCAGGTTGAGAGCTGGGGTGGTTGGATTGGAAGAAACAAGGAAGGGGGGATTTTATGAGCGCCTAGAAGTTCGTGTTTTAAGGACTCAATAATATATTTTCTGGAAGTCAACCAGCGAGAGGGGAAGACACGAGGAAAACTTTTGAGATTTTGCAAAAGTCGATTGAGCGAGACGAACGGCAAGCGGCTCATTCTGTTCATGCCTAAAGACAATGTTGAAGGCACAGCGCGACCTGCGAGGCACAGCGTAACATGCGAGGCACAGCGTGACATGCGAGGCACAGTGTGACATGCGAGGCACAGCGTGACATGCGAGGCACAGCGTGACATGCGAGGCACACCCCCCCAGTCACTCTGTTTTTTTATCGATCCCCTACTCACTCCTTGGCTTCCTCTGGCAGTTTTTCCACGAGCTGCTGCGCCTCTGCGTGTGCCTGCCCCCTGCGCGTGGTATCAGAGCGAAAGTCCACAAAGGCGCGCGTGGCCTTGCGTAGGGAGGCCAGGGGACCGGAGTGCTGCGGGGTACACAGGGGGGAAGGGGGGGGGTTGGGGGGAGCATGTGGGGGGGGGGAGGGTAGAGTGGGGGGTGGGACAGAAGGGAGGGAAGGAGGAGGGGAGGAGGCGGAAGTTCACAAAGGCATGCGTGGCATTGCGTAGGCTAGGGGACCAGAGTGTTGCGGGGCATGGGGTGGGGAGGGGGTATATGGGGGAGGAGGGGGGAAAGGGGAGAGGGGGGGAACAGGAAGAAGATGGGGGAAGAGGCGTCACTTGTAATAATTCACCAAGTGGCTTCTGAGAGGCGGTTCAAAGAAATGTCAAATCTGCGCCAGAAGAATGTCTCAAGAGTGAAACAGGCGAAGGGGAGGGGATGGAGGAGCAAGGCAAGGCAGGGCAAGGCAAGGCAGGGCAGGGCAAGGCATGGCAGGGCAAGGCAGGGCAGGGCAAGGCATGGCAGGGCAAGGCAGGGCAGGGCAAGGCACTGAACTAACCGCATGGCCATGCAGCGGGACGGGAAGTTGGCGTTTTGAGGAGACTTTTGAATCGACTCGAAAGGAAAAGGGGATGGAGGCGCAAGGTAAGGTAAGGTAAGGTAAGGTAAGGTAAGGTAAGGTAAGGTAAGGTAAGGTAAGGTAAGGCACTGAACTGACCGCATGACCGTGCAGCAGGAGGTTGGCGAGGGACTGTGCGTCCACAGGACCCGTGTAGCTGCGGGTAGTGGAGGGGTGGTGAGTGGTGGAAGTGAGGTGGAATGGAGGGGAAGGGATGGATAGAGAGAGGACGGGAGGGGAAGGATTTTGAAAGGGAAGAAGGCTTTTCTATTTCAGTTCAGGTAAAAAGAGGAGGAAAAGTAGGCAACAAGAAGAGCGAGGAGGTAGGAGAGACGAGTGATCACTCTGGTAAACCGTGCAGCGGCAAGGGAGGAGGGCGAGGGGTGGGGGGAGGAGCGAGGCAGGGAGGTGGGAGCAAGGAGGGGGGTGCGAGGGGGGAGGTGCGAGGGGGGAGGTGCGAGGAGGGAGGTGTGAGGAGGGAGGTGTGAGGAGGGAGGTGTGAGGGGGGAGGAAAAAGTAGTCACCTTGTGCCGAGGGAGTCATTGAGGTCAAACAAGACGAAGTGAGGAAGGCTGCATTGGGGGGGCGGTGGGGCGGTGGGGAAGAGACGAGGAGAGGGCAGAGGGGAAAATTGGATGGAGGGGGAGGGGAGGACGGAGAGGGGGCGGAGGGCGGACGGGGAGGAGAGGGCACGGCAGGAAGTGAAGAGACGCTTCGAATGAAACAGGGAGTTTTGAGACAAGAAATGGGTGGTGGACGGGAAGACGAGAGAAGTGCCGGGAGGTTGCAGGTTGAGGAGAAGAGAGGACTGGAATGAATGGAGGGTGGGATGGGATGGGATGGGATGGGATGGGATGGGATGGGATGGGATGGGATGGAATGGGATGGGATGGAATGGAATGGAGGTCACACGAGGTGTATTTTGGATGCATTCTCGTTGAAAAACTTCTTGGATGCACCGTGAGGAGTGGGAATTCAGGGGGAATGGAAGCAGCTTAGCACCAGCTATGTCTTTCTTTGAATCAGCTCAGAAAATCACATAGAAGTTACGCAGCAGCCGTTTTGAGACGTCTCAAAATTAACTCAGAAATTAATATAGAAGTTACGCAGGAGCAGCAAAGGAAGGGATGCAGGCAGGCATCCCATCGAATCCCATCGCATCCCACCCCACCCAACCCCACCCCCATCCATCCCACCCCTCCCCACCCCATCACATACACTGTGGCGCCATGTCTCGCTGCAAGATGGGGGTATTTTGAAGCATCCACCTGACACAGCACAGGGACGACGAGTGAACGGGTGCACGGAAAGGCGTGGGGATGTGGGAGTGAGAGAACGTGGGAGTGTGTGCATGGGCACGCTTGCAATTCGCTGCCATGCCTGCCAGAAAACACTGGGAAGCCACACAAAGCGACCTACAGTCAAGTCAACAAACGCAGGAGCCCAGGAAACAGGGAGACAAGGAGAGCAGGAGACTAGGAACCCAGTATTTTTTTGAGAATTCTCAAAAAAACCCTGCGAACCCAGGAGAGCAGGGACCCTGAGAGCCCAGGCACCTACCCTGGCGAGCAGGCAGTCAGAGCGGTCAATCAGCAATGTAGCCGCCTGGCGCACATGCGGTAGTGCGCTCTGAGGGGCACAGAACGTTGCGGGGAGGGAGGCAGGGACATGGGGGGAAGAGGGGGATGGGGGGGGGAATTGGGGGGAAGGAAAGGGGAGGGGGTTTGCGGAGTGGGCGTACAGTACAGCAGGTGCAAAGACAGAGTTGAGGGTTTTGAAAAAGGTTGGGTGCAACGAGGATGCATCGTTTCCCCCCTTTCGCCGTTTTCCCCCCTCCTTTCGCCCTCCATTTATCCCTCTCCCTCAACTGGACCACTTCACCCGTCCACCTCCCCCCATCCCTTTTCCTCCCACTCCCACTCCCACTTCCCCTCCCCATTCCCTTTCTCTCCCCCCCTCTTCACATCCCCTCTCCCCTCCTTCCCACCTTGCTCGCCTCTTCATTCGGATCGTAAAACTCTACCAACACGCGCCATCCTTTGAGACGTCTCAAAAGTCATCTCCCACTCCCCTCCTTCCCACCTTGCTTGCCTCTTCACTCGGATCGTAGAACTCCACCAACACGCGCCATCTCCCCCCCACCACCTTCGCTATAGTCACGTCGTCCAGATCCAGCACCCCCTCTACATGCTTCCCCGGACTTGGTTCCGCCCACGCCTGCGCGCCTGCGCCTTCCCCCGCGCCCGCCTCTCCCCCCTCCCCGCCGTAATCCCACATGTCGTAGTCCCCCTGGCCTAGATTGCTCCGCTCGCGCGCAAACGCCGTGAGGGGAGCGGAATGGGGGAGGGAAAGGGGGAGGGGGAAGGGGAGGGGGAGGCGGCAGGGCGGCGAGAGAAGGACGAGGAGGAGGAGTAAGAGGAGGGAGAGAGGCGGAAGCGGCCAGAAAGGGGAAGAGGAATGGGACGGGTGGTCGGGAGATTTGCTCCGGTTTTGTCCGCAGATAGCGGGACGAGACGACGAGGGCGGGGGGAGAGCTGGCGGAAGGCGAAATCGGATTGCCATGGCTTCGCGCGGGGAGAATCCGCAAATCGCGCGGAGCGGGGGAAGCAGGACAAGAAGAGGAGGCCAGAGAGGGGGGGGGGGGGGAAGAGGGGGGGAAGGGTGGGTGGGGAGGGTTTGAGGGGGGTCGTCAAGGGAGGCGCGCTCTCGTCCACTGTTGCTCGCTGCTGCTCTGATCCAGCTGCTCTGTCCCACCAATTTCACCAACTTTCGATACAAGTCAACAACAGATTTCGTCCTAGCTTTCGTGCCGCTTCTGCTCACTAGTTCTTCAGAATCCTGAACCCAGATTCATCTACAGGTAGGTGTCGCACGAAGCTTCGCTGAATCGGCTACTGCTACTGCTTTCTGCTGGTACGGGGACGCGCCGCACGCTTGTCGACGAGTCGGAATTCTGTTTAGAATGCAGTGCAGCGCCTAAAGCTGATTGGAGAGGACGAGTCGACTGACTTGCTGGCGGTGCGCAACTGCCAGGGCCAACAGCAGGCGGTGCGAGCCAGGAATTCCTCGCTAAAGGCCGAACCACGGACTACGCATACGATCGTTCTGCAGAATTTTGCACAGCGCTCTACAGAATTGCGCGTCAACGTGATACCAAGTAATGGTTTTTGCTACTGGACAGGTCATAGGACACGACCTCAAGCCTTGCCAGAACACAAGTGTTTAGATTTCTCATAAGCATATGCACACAACTGAATAATGCAGCCATGAGGAAGTAACACTTCCTCCATGCTTTACTGTATCATGCATCCCCCCCCCCCCGGATCCCTCCTTACCAAACCCACATCTGCACTGCAATGCTTCAGTTCGGTCCCATTATCCAATCCATCATTCCTCTTGAAATCCTCACCTCAACCACACCAGCCTAAAAAACTTTCTCCCGCTCATCCTCACACCAGATCAGTCCTCACGGTAAAGCACATCCCACCCATAACAGCGTCCACCACAGCTCGTAATTTTCATCCCCTTCGATCCCATCATCCATCCATCCATCCTTCCATCCATCCCAATCAAAACCCCTTCTTCATATGAATTTTCCTCATGCCCCCAATCTGCCCCTCCCTATGTCCTGCGATACTCCTCATAATAGTCATCATCCCCACCACCCAGTTCTAAGATGTCTCCAAACATTCCCCCCTGTGTTTCCCCATTTCCCCTGCCCCTCCCTACGGCCTGCGATACATCTCCTCGTAATCATCATCCCCACCACCCAGCCCAAAGTCGTGCGCGAGCGACTGGAAGTTGCTGCGAAGGTTCTGGTAACGTACATTCTCAAGGTAAGGCACGTAGCGCAGGACACTATCCGGGAGTAAGCCCCGAGCCGCCAGCATTGTGAGGGCAACCCCTGCCAGCACCACCAGCAGCAGGACCGCAAAGATACTCCCGAAAATACCCCACCCATGCCGCTCACTGCCAGTGTTGCTGCTGCTGCTGCTGCTCTCGTAGGTTTCGCTGGGCGAGGGAGGGTTGTAGCGGGTGTGGCTGCTCACACCAGCCTGACTCACAGGGTTGCTGCTGCTGCTTCTGCCGCTGCCGCGAGGGTGGAACCAGCTGCTACTGCTACTACTGCCACTGCTGCCGCTGCTTCCCCCACCCGAATGGAACCAGCTGCTGCTACTGCTGGTGCTGTGAGTATTGAACCCGGCACCACTGTAACTGCTGCTTGTAGCGCCAGGAGTGAAGCTAGAGCTACTCTTGCTCCCTGCCCCAGACCAATGCCCCTTGCACTTATCCCCTGCAATCTGCCGCTTGTTGTCCGGATTTGGCTTAAAGCCCTTCCCGGCGAGGGCGGGGCAGCTGTCGACTGCAAAGGTGGACAGGTGGCGGCACGTGGTTGGCTCTGTGGTGTCGGGCTCTGTGCCGAAATCGCACTGGTAGTCGTTCTCGGAGCACTCGCATTCGGTGATTTGATTCTCAGGGCGCTTGTATGACTCACCGTTCCAGCACTTGGATGAGCGGGGCTGGCAGGGGAGCGGAGAGGGGAGAAGGACAAGGGGGGGGGGGGGGGGAGGGAAGGAATAGGGACGCACATGGGGTTGGAACTTGGGACCAAAAGCGCATTCGGTGGCCTGAGGGGCGGACGGGGCGCTTGTATATCTCACCGTTCCAACACTTGGATGATCGGGGAGGGGAGAGAGGGGGGGGGGGGAGGGGAGGGGAGGGGAGGGGAAGGGAGGGGGAGGAAGACAGGGGAGGAAGACAAAGGAGGCAGAGAGGTGGAGGAGGAGAGCGGGGGAATAGGGACAGACAAGACGTAGGACCTCAGAATAAATCAGCTGAGACGACATCAGAAATAGTCCCTTCTGCAGCAAAGCCAGATGATAGACGTCTGAGGCGATACTTGAGGCGATACTTGAGGCGACTCAAGATACTCCCCGTACCTGGCGCTGGATGGAGATGTTTTGGCCGAGGAAGCAGCGGGAGGCAGTGGGGGTCCAGAACTCGTAGTCGCTGCTCTTGCAGAGCTTGTACTCGGGCAGCGCTGTGAAGTCCAGAGAGATCAGCACCCCCTGCCTCGCCTTCCCAGTGCCGTCGTCCATAGTCAGACCCTGGTTTGAGGGGACGGGCGGAAGGGGGAGGGTGGGGCAACGAGGGGAGGCGGGGAGGAGGAGAGGGGGTGAGCGTGTGGGGTGTGCAAGAGTGAGTATCCACACTCATATCTGAGCACATGAGAGTGTGCGGGCGTGTATGAGCACATGCAAAAGCATGTCTACGCACTCATCTGAGCATGAGTAGAAGTCTGCACTGGCATTTTCAACCATTACCCCCCTTCCCCCCTCATCCCAACCCCCACCTGAATGATAAACTCCTTTCCCTGTATATCCGGCTCCATCCCCAATATTCCACAGCTTTTGAACCGTCTCAAACGCTCACCTGAATGAGGAACTTCTTCCCCTGGTTATCCGGCTCCACGCGAATATTGAAAATATCCACCTGCTGCTCCGCCTCTGCAAACGTCTCCTCCTCCCACGTGAGCCCCTCATCCAGCGAATACATAACCGTGCTCGAGGCCGTATGCAGCCCGTGCTTCGTCATCACAATCACCCCACCAGAGTCCCCAAACTCGTAGATATGAGACCCCTTGGCCACCTCCTCCCACGTCTGTCCTCCATCCCGCGACAGATACGTGTTGATAGTCGAGTCCTGGTACAGGAACGTTCCCACGTTGCCTGTGGAGATGATGAGTCCGGGGGTGGAGGCGTGGGAGTAGACGAAGGCAAAGCCAGAGCCGCCGATCCAGCTGGTGGTGCCGTGCAGGTGGAGCGAGCAGCCATCGCGCGGGTCGCAGTGGATGGGGTGGCGGTTGGTGTCATACTCTGGGGCCTTGATGGGCTCCCACCTGAGAAGAAGGTTGAGGAGGGAGGCCACGGGTGCAAGAGGGGAATGGGTTGGGTTGGAGGATGAAGCAACAGAGGGTTGGTCGCAGTGGATGGGGTGGCGGTTGGTGTCGTACTCTGGGGCCTTGATGGGCTCCCACCTGGGGAGGTGGGACCGGGGAAGAGGAGGGGGAAGGGGGGCGAGGGAGGACGGAGGAGGTGGAAGGGGGGGAAAGGAAAGGCGGGGAGGGAGGGGCGGGGGCGGGGGGAAGAGAACGACGTACAAGGCGCAAACGTTGAATGCAATAAAAGATATGTATTCACTTTCGAGAATTCCAACGGGCAGAAAAGACAGGGGGAGATGGAGAAAGAGCAGGGGTGGAGAGGATGGGCTGGGGGGGTTGGAGGGGAGAGGGGAAGAGGGGAACAGGAACGTACGAGGCGCCGGAGTTGAATGTGATGAGGGTGGTGGAGCGGGCAAATGTCATGTCATCCTCCTCTGTGGTGCCCGCACCACCATGCTTTGCCGCCTGCAGTGCAGTGCTCCGATGGTGGGGGAATGGGGCAGGACACACGAGTGACACACACAGAGAGGGAGTTCAGGTGGTGGCGCGGGAGGGAAAGAGAAGCAGGGGCAGTGGGAGGAGGATGGGGACGAGGTGGAGGATGCAGGGTGTGGTGGGGGATTTTCCAAAACACTCCACATGATGTGTGATAGACACAGAGGGGATTGAGGCGGTGGTGAGGGAAAGAGAAGCAGGGAGCAGTGGAGGGGGGCGGGAAAGGGGTGGAAGAGAGAAAGAGAGAGAGAGAGAGAGAGAGAGAGAGAGAGAGAGAGAGAGAGAGAGAGAGAGAGAGAGAGAGAGAGAGAGAGAGAGAGAGAGAGAGAGAGAGGGAGCAGACACGGGGTGGAAGGGGGAAGAGTGAACGGGAATGATTTACACCAGAATGGCTGGACAAGGAGGCTGATGGTCAACTAACTCAGGCCCAACAACCCCAGGCTCACTGCACCGCACTGCACCAAAGCTCACTCCTCAGTCACATCACACTGCCTCACAGACTGACCGGGGGTTCCACGTATTCAGAGAGCTGATTTGCCACATACACTCCAGGCAGGCCCTGCAGCAGGGAGAATATTCAAAGAGTGATCGCACAGAGAGAAGAAACGGGGAGAGAGGACTCGGGTTCCAGGAACAGAGCATCAAGAACATACGGAGGAGGTTAGGGGCCGAAAAGGAGGAAACAATTGCAGGTTTGGGTTCTATTTAGTCTGTATGGGGCTCTGTCTACCTCCAAACACAGAAAATATCATAAGAAACACAGAATGCGGGAGGAATAAGCGAGAGGTGTCCGAGTAGGGAGTTAAGTATGAAGGAGTTGCTGGAAATGAGGAAATCAAGAGGGTGTGGGTGGAGGAAGGGGAGGGGGAGTGGAAGCGGGGAAAGGAAAGCGCTGGGGGAGAAGAACATGCGAAGACTAGTAGTAAGTACCTGTTATTGGCACGACTTTAAGCGTCACGCTTAAATCGGCGCACAACAAAGGCAACAATTCCACACAGGAAAATAGAACGTCTTCACAAACGAATCAATTCCTTCGCCAGATTTTTTCCCGCCTCTTTTATTCTTTCCCTCCACAGGAACCACACACCCACATTCCTCTTTCTCAATCCACCAGTCCACCGCCGCTCAGCCCAGCATAATAACCTAGCACAGCACAATGCAAAGCACACCAAGCCCCCTCCTTCCCCTCCCTTGCCCACCATTCCCGTCCTCCTACTGCAGCCCAAAACAACCCAGAACAACAGCATCACAACAGACCAGAGCGCACCTGCAGGGCAGCAAAGTCGACAGCCCCGCTGATGCTCCTCGCGTTCCGCCTGAGCGCGAGGCCAAAGAGAGAGAGCGACTCGTCGGCCACGAGCAGGTCCCCGTACGGCGACACACGCGACCCCTCCGCATAGTCCACGTTCACAAACGCCGTGTCTGCCGTCGTGTGCACCACCGAGTACCCCCGCTGCACGAGCGGGCGCGGGAAGCACGCGTCCCGGAAGGAGCCGCCGTAGTCTGCAGAGATCTTGAGCCGCACGCCCGAGCGGCCGCCCTCCATGCGCGCTCCTGCCTCGCTGCACCCCTCTGCCACCGCCTGTGGAACAGGGGGGGAGAATGGTTTTTGAACAAGAAGGTGGAAGGGGCGACAGAGGGGGTGACAGGAAAGGGATGATTAGGTTTAAGGCCAAGGCAAGTGGAGGGCGCGGGAAGCACGCGTCCCGGAAGGAGCCGCCGTAGTCTGCGGAGATCTTGAGCCGCACTCCGGACCGGCCGCCTTCAGTGCGCGCTCCTGCCTCGCTGCACCCCTCTCCCACCGCCTGGAGGAGAGCAGGAAAGCGGCGGGCAGAGGGGGGAGGAGGCGGGGCAACAAGGGGGTGACAGAGGGATGGAGGGTGGGAAGGCGGGAAGGGATACGACAAATTTTGAGCCGACTCAAAAATCGTCTCGTCACACGAAGGGATACGACATGACGAGGTTCAGGGTGGAAAACTGGAGCGGGTGGGAGAAGAAAGCAGTTTTGCCGGATGGAGCCGCCATAATCTGCAGAGATCTTAAATCCGGTCACCAGCGGTCGCCTTCTGTGCGCGCTCCGGCCTCTCTGCACCCTGCTGCCACCACCTGGGGAGAGGAGAAAGCTGGTGACAGGGATCTGATTGGGAGGAACGGTTTTGAGACGTCTCAACAGAGAAGGAAAGCGCTCCTGCAGCGAGGAGAAGGAAAGCGGTGGGCGGAAGAGGGAGGCGGTGGGTGACAAGGGGGTGACAAAGGAGCGGAGGATGGGAGAGAGGAAGAGGATAATCAGGTTTAATGCTGGGAGGCGGCACGGGAGGGCGCGGAAGGCAGGCTTCCCGGAAGGAGCCATCGTAGTATGCGGGATATCTTGAGCCGCAAGCCGAAGCGACCGCAAGTGGACTCAAAAAACGCTTAGACAGAGGCTTTAAGAGGAGTCAAGAGAAATTCAAGCGCAAGCAACGTACGAGGAAGAGCTTGTCGTTCATGATCTCAAACTGGTTGCCGCAGGGCACGGTGCGTGTGTGCTTGGAGCCAAAGTAGTCGCTGGTGTGCACAAAGTCCACGTACGCGTCCCACCCCGTCGCCAGCGCCACCCCGTTGGCCCGCAGATGCTCCCGCACCTCGTCTCGGTTCTCAAACACCGTTGCCAGGATCGTGTCCTGGTGGGGGGAAGGGCGGGGGGCAATGGAGGGCACGTACAGGAAGGAAGGGAGGAAAGCGAAGGGGAACGGAGGGTTTAGTTGATTGAAGTTGGCCCACAGATGCTCCCGCACCTCGTCCCGGTTCTCAAACACCGTTGCCAGGATCGTGTCCTGGTGGGGGGGAGGAGGGGGAAAGGGAAAAGGCAGGATGGGAGGGGGAAAGGAGCGGGGGTTTGAATTGATCGATGTTGGCACGTAGATGATCCTGCACCTTGTCCCGGTTGTTAAAGACCGTTGCCAGGATGGTGTCCTGGTGGGGGCAGGGCAGGAAACGAAGGGAGACAGGGCGGGGGAGTGGGGGGGTGGGGAAGGGGGGGAAGGAGGGGAAGAGGGGAGAAGGGATTGAGGAAGTGTATGAATTGATGGGATTCTGCCTGTAGAGGCTCCCTCTCTCTGAGACAGGTTTCAATCGGTAAGGATCCAGATTCAACAGTAAGGCGATGCATGCGCGAATGTGAGCACGGATAGATAAAAGGATAGATACATCAAGGTAAGTTGCCATGAAGAGTTTGGTATGTGGGGAACTGGGCGGTTATGAGAGACGTACCCGAGTGTAGCTGGTGTGGTGGTTCATTTGGCCAGGGGTCTGGGGGGATTGGGAGAAGCAACAGGCATGGCAGCAGGCAGACAGAGTACAGCCAGACGGACAGACGGGCAGGCAGGGAGAGAGGCGAGCAGGGAGAGAAGCAGGCAGGCAGAGAGGCAGGCAGGAAGGCAGAGGGGCAGGCAGGTAGAGGGGCAGGCAGGCAGAGAGGTAGAGCGAGACAGGCGTGTGTCGTTTTGCAAGAGAGACAAAGAATTAATGCAACCATGCATACATACATGCATGCCACTTTGCACACAAACAATGACACACAGAGACAGAGACAGAGACACAGATACGCACACACATGCGCGAACACGTGCGCGCACGCGTGCGCATAAACACGGTTACCAAACAAGCGTGTTACTTCAAAGGATGTCTAGTGAACAAGGGGTACAAAGGGGCTGGGACGGGGGATATACTGAGGAGGAAAAGGCAAAGGAAGATGGGAAGGAGGGGAAAATTGGAGGAGGGCAAAGTAAGGCGAGGAAAAAAAAATGGGATACAGAGGGAATAGAGGTAGTACGAGGGGAAGGAAGAGGAAAAGGCAGAGTAAGAGGAGGAAGGGAAGATGGAGTGGGAGGCTCATCCCAGGTCAGAGCCCACTCACCTTGCTCCAGCCCCAGTCAAAGTCCACAAAGCCTAGAACACGACCCTGAAAAAAAAAAAAAAAAAAACGAGAGAAAGTGAGAGCGGGAGAATGTGAGGGGTGGGAGAAAGGACGAGGGGCGGGGAGGAGAAAAGAAAAGAGCACTCCAGATGGAAACAAAGTAATGGGATTGCAGGCTAGCTATGTTGAAATTAACTTCTGCGAATTCTCAAAGGCGCGAGTATTGGGGGGGGTGGGGATGAGAAGGGGAAGGGGGGGGGGGGGGTGGGGATGAGAGGGGGAAGAGAGGGGGGGTGGGGATGAGAGGGGGAAGGGGGGGTGGGGGAGGAGAATAAAGAGTGCCTCATATGGCAACAAAAGGAGTGGAAGCAGTGTGAGAAAGAAGGAAAAAGAATGGCATAAGCAATATCAATAATCCACCCACACAACCATGCTCGGAAAAACCCTCATAAGCAAAATCAATCAACCACTCTCAACCCATCCGCCTCGCCTTACCCACTTCTGCCCCCCTCTCCCTTCATTTCCCTCCCCTCCCTGCCCTTCCAGCCTTCCCCGGCACGCACCTGAGCCCTCTCTGTGAGGTTCTGCCATGTGCGGCCAAAGTCCTTTGTGAGGAACAACTGGTGCATGCACACAGTGCGGTGTAGAGTGGGGCGCGGGCGGGAGGGGAGGAGGAGGAAGGGGGAGAGAGGGAGACGAGGTTGGGGGAAAGTGAGGGAGAACAGTTTAGAACGGAAACATGGCGTTAATGGGGAGTTGAAAAAAAAAACACAGAAGGGTTTGGGGCCAAAGGGTGGAAGTGAGGGGAAAGGGGGGGGAAGGAAGGCGAGCGATAGGCTTGGTGTGGGAAGAGGGCGGATAACAGGTAGGGCATCGGCGAGCAAGCTATGCATGGGTGGGTAAGAAGTGGACATGGAAATAACTAATGAGGCGTCTCATGATGCGAGCGAGATATACCAAGCGAATGGGTGAATGGACATGGAAAGTGGGTACCAGGCGAGGTATGGATTAAGGCCAGGGGTGGCGATGCAATGAGGCAGCACAGCTTGATGTAAAATGGTACATTCCAAGTGGCGAGGAGTATGCGTATGGCATGAGATGTGGCATGTGTGTGCCATGCATCCAGCATGGGACACATCACATGGAACAGGGAAGACTTGAGAGAGTGCAGTGCAGAGGGTGCAGGAGGAGGGAGGGAGGGGGAGACTGACATCGTCTGCACATGCCCCTCGCTGGGTATCGTCCTTGGACCAGCACGCCCATCGCCGCACCATTGCCAGCACCTGTGGGGGGCACATGCATCGGGGACACACAGGCAGGCAGGCAGGCGGGCAGGCAGGCAGGGCGGGCGGGCAGGCAGGCAGACGCACAGGCAGGCAGGCAGGCAGGTAGCAAGCAGGGGATCCATGTGAGGCAGCACAGCAGCATGGAGTGGGCGGGGAGTGGTGGGGCATGGGTGGGGCATGGGTGGGGCATGGGGAAGGATTAGAGCGAGCGAGTCATAGCGAGCTCGCATTCTCAGGTGTGTCACAAGCATGGCATCGATCTAGCATGGGGGACGAGGGCCGGAAAGGCAGGAACACAGAAAGGCAGGAGATGCAGGATGACAGGGGGGCACGGAGGCAGGAAGACAGGCAGGAAGGATGGAAGGCAGGAAGGAAGGAAGGAAGGAAGGAAGGAAGGAAGGAAGGAAGGAAGGAAGGAAGGAAGGAAGGAAGGAAGGAAGGAAGGAAGGAAGGAAGGAAGGAAGGCACGAAGGCAGAAAGGCAGAAAGGCAGAAAGGCAGGAAGGCAGGAAGGCAGGAAGGTGAGAAAAGCAGGAAGGCACTGACCCAGTCGCTCTCCATAGGGTGTAGACGCACTGTGGCCACTCCCATGTGCCCTGCCGGCCCCTCCACCCTGTCATACGACTCGCCTGTATGCACATAAGCATGTGCACATGCGCACACAGATACACATACACAGACGTACACCTCTCCCCCCCACGCACACACACACGCACGCGCACACACACACACACACACACACACACATGCATGCAAATATGTACACACACAGAGACATACACACTCAAACGCGAGCACGGACACAGCCGCGTGAAAATGAGAAGCAGTGGGAAGGGGGCCGGGGTGCGGGGTGGGTGGGATGGGGCAGCGAGCGAGGATGAACGTACTTGCGTTCGCAATGACCCAGGCCACCCAAAAATTAACCACTCAAGTGTTTTAATGGATTTGTAAAAGAAAGGGAGGGAAGGAGGGGGGGCGAGGGGAGGGACGGGACGGGAGAGGAGAGGAGGGGAGGGGAGGGGGAACGGTGTGTGTGTGTGTGTACCAGCGTTGGTGGTGATCCAGTGCGTGTCGCCTCCGCCCCTGAAGAACATCTTTTCTGGCGTGGACGGATGGAAGTAGAAGGCCTGCACTCCCTTGGGCGGCTCGTATGCACTGTAATGGAACGCACATATTCGTTCATGGCACACCCATAGCCACATGCACCCACCGATGCACAGATGAAGACATGTGCACATGTACACATGAGCATGCACACATGGACACGTGCACATCATGAGCTCAAGCATACATGCACACATGCACGGACACATGAACACATGCACACGATCCACGCCCATCCATGCATTCAACCACGCACACACACATGCACACATGCACACACATTGCTACGCAGCCAGGATAGCTTACGGATAGAAACGGGACAGCAACGAAAGAAAGGTCGGGGGTGTGGATTGAGGGAGGAACAGGTGACGATGGAGGTGATGAAGGGAAGGAGAAGGGGAAGAAGATGGCGGGGAGAAAAAGAGGGAAATGAAGGGAAACGAGGGTTCGGGGAGATGGCCAGGAAAGGAGAAGGAGGAAGAGGCAGGGGAGGAGGAGGAGGAGGAGGAGGAGGAGGAGGAGGAGGAGGAGGAGGAGGAGGAGGAGGAGGAGGAGGAGGAGGAGGAGGAGGAGGAGGAGGAGGAGGAGGAGGAGGAGGAGGAGGAGGGGGAGGGGGAGGAGGAGGAGGAGGAGGAGGAGGAGGAGGAGGAGGAGGAGGAGGAGGAGGAGGAGGAGGAGGAGGAGGAGGAGGAGGAGGAGGAGGAGGAGGAAGAAGAAGAAGAAGAAGAAGAGCTCACCCCTTGGCTGACGGGATGTCCGTTCCACCAGGTAACTGCGTGCACAACACAGGAAACAGATGGAGAGAAAGACAAGCGAAGTGTGGGAGACGATTGAGAGAGAGAGCGAGGCGAAGCCCAGCAATGAAACGTGCAGGAACGCGGGAAAAGGAGCAGCGCGGAAAGTTTTGGTCAGATACGGGTATCTTGCAGCCAGGAAAGGCGGGAAAGCGGGACGGGAGGGGGACGAGAGGGGACGGCAGCGGACGGGAGCGGACGAGAGCACATGGGAGGGGGCTTGACACGAGGAAGAGCAAGGGGTAAGAAACGAAAACATGGATGTTAAGTAGAGAGGGAACGCGCGGCAGTACGTACCTTCCCCTGCGCGGAATGGTCGTTCCACGACACGCCTCCGTCCTTGCTGACCCACACGTGCCCTGCCTCCGTTACTGTGAACACGATCTATAGACACACGCGAGGAAAAGGGAGAAGGTGAAGGGGAGAGTGGGGCGAGAGGGGGAGGAGAGAGGGGAGGAGAAGAGGGGGGCGGATGGGGGAAGAGGGTGGGGAGAGAATAGACTTGACGAAAGGGCCGAGAACGTATGATAGTAGAGACGTGTCAGCAGTTCACGTACCTATGGAAACATCCGAAAACATGGATGTCGGTTACCTACGCACGCGCTAGGGGATCAAGAAGGTGGAGAGGAGATTCGCACATCCGCCGACGGATGTTTCAGATTCTCGTGATTCTGAGTAGAACGGTTCGCGCGCCACCGCGAGAGCCAAGAATATCCGGAAGGCGAGCACGAAACACACCGGCGAACGAAGACCTCCAGACCGCGAAGATGTGGCAGGCTTATTGATCAATAAACACAACCATTGTTGCCTAACAACACTTTCACACACCCACCTAAACAGAAACAAAAACGAGTCACGGTACGCAATATGCTTGCACGTGCTTTGATGTCAAGGAAAGGGAAACTATAGAGGACTCATGCTCACCTCGTCTGACGGTCCGACCCATTGAGTATCCCGGATTGGGCTATCCAACACCGTCTGAACGTCAGATACAAGCAGTCATAGGGATAGTGGGGAAAACGAAGTAGATAGCGGGAAAGGCAAAAGGGAATAGATTCAATGGGGAAATCAGGCCGGTGATTCACGAGCAAAGAGACGAATTGGACAGTTCCCAGGCTTTAAGCAAGGGGGATGGTACTCAGCCAAAGGCAACACAGCGTAACCAGTAATCCATATAACTACTAGGAACTGGCTGAGATTCGGACGCAAAAAATCGTGAAATATTCATGAAGTTCGTGGGATTCTCATTGGAATTCGCGGTGTAAGTTGTATTACATGAAATTCCCAATGTTCGCGACCTTCAGTAATTTTACAGGAAACTAACCATGGTCGAGAGCTTGGCTGTAACGTCACGAGGCGCGAGCAGTGCCAGAGTCACCGCAAGGGCTACAGCGACCACTCCGACACGCCATGGCCGTTGCACATACTCGGCCGCGGCCATGCTCGCAGGACCCTCACAGATCTGACCGCGCACGTCACACAACAAATTCGCACTCGTTCACAACGCTTACGCCCTAACACGACGGTTTTTATCTTATCAAACGACGCCCTATTCGGCATCCAACAAGGGAGCAGGCGCTAGGAGCAGTCGCTTTCTATGCATCCGTGAAAACTTTCGAAAATTAGGAGTCGCCTGGATGTGGACAGTGATTACCTAGATAATTTCGAGCAGCATGGGCATTGTTGAAGTTGGGTAGGTGGTGGTGGCACTGGGGAGGCGGGGAGGTGGGGAATTGAGCAGGTTGGTTGCAAAACACATTTCCCGTGGTCATCTGCGGTTTCCGTCGTTCCCAAGGTTTCTGCTCGTCTTGGCTGTTGCAGACAGGCTCTTGGGGTTCGGTTCGGGCAACGCTGACGACGAGGTTCTGCTTCGTGCGACGAGTGTGCTGCTGGCTCGTCTAGATTCGTGAATTTCCCAACTTGGTGCAGAAGGGTACGATTCGCGAACTCAAGTGCACAAACAGGCATGACGAACGACGCCTTCGTACGGAATAAGCTGCCTCAGCAAGGTACACCCTGTTTCTCGCTACACTAAACTGTGCCGAACAGGTGCAAAACCTTGTTATCTTCGATTTGCCTAATTGAACCATACTGAAACAAAAATGAACCACCGTGAACCATGCTTTTCCCATCTTGACTTCATTATAACCGAATTCACAAATGGCGAGAAAGAGGGTGTAAAAGATCCTTGAAGCAGGGTACCTCAAAAACCTGGGTCATCATGGTTGTTCTGCTCGGAGGTTGCCTTGCTTTGAGGGCGTGTCCAGCTCGTTCATTTCGGGAAATCTAGGACCTCCTCACGATCCGGGGTTCAAAACTGAACACTGTACCTATAAACGAACGTGCCTTGCTCGAGTCCACCCTTGCTGTCATTCTGGCGCGCGGACACCATCCCCCCACACAGACTTCAACAGTGCAGGGGCCGTGTGGCAACCAAGGTAACCAGTTCCCTTGTCAACCGAAGTGTAAGGAATTTTCCCGAATTCCTTATCGGGGTTGACTGCTTCGCGTACAACCCGATTTTCGGAGTTCGCACGTTCGGCCGATTTCAACGCTGCCGAGGCTCCTCACGTCGCCTTCGGCTTTCCCATCGCCAAACCTGCACCCAACCTCGCCCGTCCGAGGTTTCCTCCTAGCTAGAGTAGTCCTACATTAGTCTGTGCATTCATTGTATTCGCAGTTGATTCAGTCACAGCTTCGTTATTCGTTTACCTGCGCACCCTCTTTTACAACTCATAACACGAAGCGTTAGAATTTTCGCCAGACCAACACTTCCACTATAGGTTTTGGCGAGTGTCAGGCGGCACATGCGAAATCAAGCGCGCGATACGATGGGCACTCACTGTAGTGGGCATGACGCGGTTCTGTACCATTGTTCGATGCGCACGCTGATTCCTGTAACGTGCGTCACACGATTCGAGGTACGTGCAGGGGGGGTGCCGTATCGTGAACGGGAGCTGATCGTGTCTGGCATTTTTGTAAAACTCAGTGATACAACGCAAATTGTGGTAACTGAAGGGCTTTACGAACAGTAAATGAACGAGCTGGACACCCCCTGAGCAACGAAAACCTCATGGTCCAATGCAACAATTGACAGATGTCTATAGCACCAAACCGTACACACTGCAGATGCCACACATTAGGGCTGTTATGAGTTGTACTAAGAAGAGTGCGCGGAAGACTTTATAAAAAGGATGTCGAATACAGAATGACGAGAATAATAAAGAAGCAAGCATTTATAGGGTCGTAACCGTGGTAGGCGAGGACCTTGGGACGTGGATGGGTTGGAAGTGTCGCGATTGGTGTAGGGCGACTCGGAAGTGGTTCGGACCGAAGTGTAGGCCGAACCCAAACTGACGCGAACAGTTCGAGCTGTCCTCGCTTGGAGTAGCCTCTACAGTAATGAATTCACATTCATTACACTCTCCCACCTTCTAAATAAGGTGCCCTTATACGTAGGCGAGTTTTGCAGTAGCGTGAAAACCGCAGATCTTGGTTGAAACTAATCTGACGGTGCGGAAGCATGTTGACTTTCGAGTTGACGCGTGGCTGAGCGCGTTGACCAGGCGAATTTCAAAGAGTTGGGATGTAAGCTGTTGATACTGCCGATGTCGATCGGGCGATTGAAAGCGAATGTCGATTTCAAATCGTTCGACGAAGGAAGACCGTCGATGTCGCGGATGTGTATCGGATGGTTCTCGTGAATGTCATGTCGGCGGGAATCCTGATGCGTTGTCAGAGATCGATGAATCTGGTGCCGTCGATGCCGATGAAGCCATCGCGTGCGTCCGTCGTGCTGAGTGTGTCAAACGAACTGTCAGAAATAACTGCTGAAATGTCAGAGACCTGCCGAGAACAGTGCGTGAGCACTCTTTCTCCCCCCCCTGGGAAGATAACTGCTGCCCACCAAAATGTGCACAGCTGCGCGGGCACAAAACCATAACCACCCTGCGCAGTATACCAAGTGTTATGACCTTCCGCCTGAAATCCAGCCGATGTGCAGTCGAAATTGCTGTCGGTGGCGAAATCTTTACTGCCGAAAACCCCAAAAAATGCCGAGGGTAAACTTTGTCGAAGCCCGTGGTCAATATCCCGCGATGAAAACTTCTTGTTGTCATTATTGTCGCGTTAGCCGCTGCAGCATTTCCTTCGGCTGCCACACAGAATCACCGCGTGGCAGATCGAACCTGCTGCCGTATCTCAGCTCGCGGCTTCTACAATCCGAAATTTGCGGTTGCTGTTCCGAAAATGTGGCAGAATTCTCGCTGCAGCTTCTCCAGCTGTCAGCACCTCCGAAGAGCTTGTCCTGACTCGCCGAGTGTGTTGTCGCTTTTCTCCGAAAACTCCCGGGCAGGGGCGAAAACAGCTGCTGCACCTCCCCCTGACCACCGAAATATATTTTTCCAAGGCGAACTTGAACTGTCGATGACGTCAGCTGCCTCGGCGACGTTGTCGTGACTCGCCGAAAACTTCGGGGCAGAGGCGAAAAGCTGTCCTTCCTCCCCCCACCTGGTGCAATAATGTCCACCTGTGTTGCGGCTGGTACCCCTGAAACTCCACAGATGTTGAAGCCAAGAAGTTCACCTCGGCAGTTTTCGCGCTCTTATCCCGACGCCGCTGCACTCCGCCGTATTCACGAAAATGTCAGCCGTCACCGCCTAACTCTTGTAAAACCGGGACTCGGTACTCTCCGGAAATGTCGGTGTTGAAATTTCTCGTACGTCTTGTGTCAAACTCATATATATAGCTTGTGTAGGCTATAGTGGGGTAGACACTATGGGGTACAGTTTCCAAGGGTTTCCTACTTGTACCCAACTTTGTGCTAGTTCATTCATTCCTCATTCTTCACATGGTATAGAGCAGGTTCCCTAGTGGGAACGCTTCCTTGGGCCCACCACTGAAAACTTCCTTTCTGACCGGAGCGCCAGTTGCTCCTACCCGAGGCGCGCCATTTTTGCCGCCCTTTCCAAGCCCCTAGTGGCCCCTAGCGGCCTCGTCGCCGCCCCTAGCGGCCCCGTTACCGCCCCTACGCGGCCCCGTTGCCGCCCTTAGCGGCCCCGTCGCCGCCCCTAGCGGCCCCGTCGCCGCCTCTTACCCTACGCGGCCCCGTCGCCGCCTCTTACCCTACGCGGCCCCGTCGCCGCCCCTACGCGGCCCCGTCGCCGCCCCCTAGTGGCCCCGTCGCCGCCCTTAGTGGCCCCGTCGCCGCCCCTAGCGGCCCCGTCGCCGCCTCTCACCTTACGCGGCCCCGTCGCCGCCCCTACGCGGCCCCGTCGCCGCCCCTCCGCGGCCCCGTCACCGCCCTTAGCGGCCCCGTCGCCGCCCCTAGCGGCCCCGTCGCCGCCTCTCACCCTACGCGGCCCCGTCGCTGCCCCTACGCGGCCCCCTCGCCGCCCCTAGCGGCCACGTCGCCGCCCCTATCGGCCCCGTCACCGCCTCTCACCCTACGCGGCCCCGTCGCCGCCCATACGCGGCCCCGTCGCCGCCCCTAGCGGCTCCGTCGCCGCCCCCTAGCGGGCCCGTCGCCGCCCATACGCGGCCCCGTCGCCGTCCCTAAGCGGCCCCGTCGCCGACCCTAAGCGGCCCCGTCGCCGCCCCTAACGGCCCCAACGCCGCCCCTACCGAGCAGCCCAGCAGCAGAGCCCCCGAGCCGCCCAATAGCCGAGCCACCGGGCCGCCCAGCAGCCGAGCCGCCGAGCCGCCCAGCAGCCGAGAAGCCAAGCCGCCCAGCCGCCGAGCCGCCCAGCAGCCGAGCAGACGAGCCGCCCAACAGCCGAGACGCCCAGCAGCCAAGCCGCCCAGCAGCCGAGCCGCCCAACAGCCGAGCCGCCCAGCAACCGAGCCACTAAGCAGCCGAGCCGCCCTGCCGTCGAGCCGCTCCTCGTCCTACCGACGCGCCCCTGCCCTACTTCCTCCGACTGGTGAGCTCACTCCTTGCTAGGCCACTCCAGTCATGGCTACCCCCAATGTTCTTACCTTTGATACTGAGGGTCGTGCTGTTGACTTTGAGGTCAGGGTCGATGACCTCCAGCTGCTCCTCCAGTGCGATAGGGAAGACGACCTCTCCCTGTTCGACCTCACCTCTCGTGTCTCCCCTGCCCCGCCTGCCACTGCTGACAGCACTGTTCGCTCACAGTGGGCGACACGCGATGCTGCTGCCCGTCTTGCTGTGCGTCGCCACTTACCGACCACTGAGCGTGCGCACTTTAGCCAGTACAAGAGTGCTCAGACCTTGTACGACGCTGTAGCTGCACGCTACTCTTCCCCTGCCACTGCTGCACTGAGCCGCCTCATGCTACCGTACCTCTTCCGTGACCTTGCTGCCTTTCCCACAGTCGTTGACCTCATTACGCACCTCCGCACTAGTGACACCCGCTACCGCGCTGCGCTTCCCACTGAGTTCTGCGCCAAGAACCCCCCCCCCCCCATGTACATCACCCT